TCGGGCTGGAAGTGGGGGTTCTGATCCCGATGGCGACATGTGATGCCCAGTGTATGAGGATTTTTCTGATCCTCTGGAGACACTGTAAATAGCTGTAGGTAAAATAATGCCCACTCTTCGGCAATATTCCGGACCCATTGTACAATATAGATATTAACGTCTCTGATCTATTTCCCCGACCATATTCGAGGTGGCTTGGAGTGGGCCAATATTTAGGAATAAACACAGAAAAGCCCCGTTGTCATATCTAGGTAGATTACGGAGTACTCCAGTGTTTGCCACTCGATAAGGTTAACAGGACTTCCATGGTAGTTAAGATGATAATATCAACACCTGGGCATCACATATGTATCATAAATAACAATATAACGTTAGATTTCGGGAAGTGTAAGGATTCCCACGTGGGCTCAAGCTTTACATCGTTACCTGTTTTGTCAGCATACAGCTTACACATCACAAATGGTGAAATGGATGGGGTAGATATCGTAGAAGCCTAGAGTAAATCATTCAAAAGCCATCAAAACCAGGTGCGTTGTATATAAAATATAGTAAAACTGAAGATATACATCTAGATTCACCTATTAATATTCCGAAGCTTCAGATATTTTATCAACAGAGAACTAGTCCTAAGTCAGTAAGGTAGTAGTGACTCAGGCAGGGGGAATTTCCAAGGTTAAGAACAATGAAACGGGTTAGGTATGCAACATTCAAATGTTTCAATGTTGAATGTTCAGGTTACGGGTATGGGGTATTACCGGTACAGCCGTATCACGATCTGTCGGATCTGTTCGGTCGACCTTGGAACATCGGCAAAAAATCGATGAAATCATTGGAAAAAGACCGACGATCCATGTCTTTAAATTAATATTTTCTTCGGTTGGCTCCATAGGTTGATTTGGAATTATCCAAACTATGAGAATAGACTATCTGTGGACTATAGAATCCAAGGTTATTCACATATCCCAGCCATTTGGTTAAGGTATATTTCAATAATCCCCTTGCATTCAATTACAACGTAAGAATGTATCCATCTATTAAATCAAAATCCGGTTGAAGACACCATGTACTTTTCAGGTATGGTAATTATACACTTGTAATACCAGACCCCAGAACCCACCGATCTTCATGGCCCACGTTGTTTGGATGCATCAGGCCAAACTCTTTCGGGGCTCACGCGTGGGCTGTGGATCATAGGCTGACAGGCCGAATGGTGCTTCTATTCTTTTTTTCTTTTTTTCTTTTTCTTTTTTTCTTTTTTCTTTCTTTTTCCCTTTTTTTTCTCTCTTATCTTTTTCCTATTTCCATTTTTTTTAAAAATAATTTATTTTTCTCGTCGATAATCCCATNTTCCCCCCCCCCCCCCTTTAGACCCATCTTTCTTCTACTCCTCCTTTTCTTTTCTATTGAAATTGATTCGAGAAAAAAAAAAGGAAAATAATAAGAGGAAATTGTCATAGTGTATAATTTCCTTGCTCNTTATCTCTTCTTCACACCCCCCAATTCTCACCGACAGATGTGGGGAGCTTCAACCTAAAGGCTTTTTTTTTTTTTTTTTTCTTTTTTTCCTTTTTATTCTTTTTTTTTTTTGGACCAAAAATTCCCATGTTTTTTTCCGGTATCAGGTGTTTGGTATAACCCACTTTTCCTCCCTCTGGTTCAACCCGAAGACTCAAAACCATTCAATGCCAACCCAAACCGGGAGCCACACCCGAGAAGATTCTCTCCCTTCAGTTCCTGATTCTGATTTTGGCGGTACAATCTCCCGCAATCGTCGCTCTTTCGCTGCCTTAGCCCAGATAACTTCAAACGCTCTTGCTACTTTGTCTGGAAGTACACTACGTTCTTCAACTTCATACGGTAGCCTGTCGAGATCGCATAAGCTCTCCGCAACCCCTGTGACCCCACCATTCGACAGCGACGCCTACGTGCAATTGACGGGAACTTCGCGCCCTTCTTCTCCGGCTTTGGGAGACAATCCTCCCAATTCGCTTCCAAAGCGTCGGTTGACTATTCAGCGTCTTCCTACACCACCCCACGAAACCCGCCCTTCCCCGCCGCCCGCACCCAAGATGCATCAGACCTCGTCAAGGTTATTGCGCATGACCGAAGATGAGCGACCATTCACCAAGGTAGGTTCAAAACATGATTGGGAAAGGAAATATTGGAACAATTGGGCTGATTTGCGCAGGATTTCATGGACTTGTTCTCCACATTGATGGTCAGCTTGAAGTTGGATTCGCACCGCGTTCGTTTCACAAGATATGACCACACATTCACCTCAGAAGAGGCCATCAACAACTTGGGCTCCCTCAAGTTCTCCCAGTCGAACCGCATGCCCGATCCAAAGGACCCATCCCGCATCGTCACCACCACAACGACCACTACTTTCTCCATGGCCAAGGAAATGGCCCGATCCGTCTGCCAGCGATTTGTCGATGCGCGCTTCATTGAATCTGTCGACGGCAAAGCACTTTTGATCTTCCCGCTCAAGGGCGCCCTCTTCCAGCTCACCCCGAAGGGTATCAATATCCTGCAGCGTTTCTGTCAGCGTAACGGCATTACCGCTCGTCACGTGATGGATGTACTAGAATCGCCACGCAACACCATGCAGCTGGTGAACCTGGAGCGTGACACGGATACCGACAAGCTGTCCCATGATCGCGCGACGATCGAGGTGATCTTCCGCCGCTTTGCTGGTCAGGATGGCCCGAACATTAAGAGCAGTATCTCAACATCGGATTCCGACTCGCTTAGTGATTACACCAACGGCCTTGTTGGTGTGAAGGTGGCTCGGGAGCGTAAGCTCCTGGATGGAAAGATTTATAGCAACACATTCACCGGAAAGGCATCGGTGGACTGGTTGATGGATTGTTCAACTACTATTGAGCGCCGGGAGACCTGCTTGATTTCCGAGCTGTTTTTGAAGTACGGCTTGATCACGATGATCCAAGACGACAAACAATACCCTGATGTTGGGACCAATGCTCATTTCCAGCCTTCCAAGTATGCCATCTACGGCATTACCGAGCGTGGACAGCGCGTGTGTGGATGGATTGCACGTGAGAAGACCCGCGAGGTTACCACGACATACGACAGCCGTGGTATGCCACGCGACTCCAATAATGCTCGATTGACCCACATCCTTCAGGATCCAGCTCTGCGTCTGCTTTTCCGTGAATTCCTTCGCTACTCGCTGTGTGAGGAGAACCTGTCTTTCTACCTCGATGTCTCGGAATTCACCACCAACTACCACAAGGCCGAGAAGATGGGTACATTTAATAAGGTCGACTCGGTGCGAGAAACTTTGGCGGCAGCATATGGATTGTACAACGCGTTCTTGGCTCCCGGCTCACCCTGTGAGCTGAATATCGACCACGCGCTCCGCAACAGCCTCGCCAGCCGCATGACCAAGGCTGTGGGAGACGACGAATCTATGTTCAAGAGTCTCCAAGAAGTGGTGCACCTGTTCGAGCTTGCTCAAACTTCCGTGTTCAAACTGATGTCAAGTGACTCCGTCCCCAAGTTCTTGCGCGACCCCAAATACTCCGTTGTTCTCCAAGAACACGACGTAGACATCCTGGGAGGCCCACGTTCATATTCGCCCACGCCAGCCGGTCCGCCGGCACTCCCAGAACGCAGCATGAGTCGTTCTGCCCGTGCCTGACAACCACCGCCCACAAGCATTGAAATAGTCCGCAACCCATTCGAAGACGATTCGTATCACTGCGATTCCGACTCCGACTCATCATGAGACCCCTTCTTCGGTGCATCACTACCCGAAGCATTCAACACCTGCAGCCTGTAATCAGCATTCGAACGCCATCCCCAAGGCACAGATCGAATCTCACCACACTGCAACCCCGCACTCATGCTTGTGGCCCCAACACGGAAACCCCCCCTCACCTTATACAACAAGGGGGACATGAAATATCCGGTCGACCTTGACACCCGATTTCATCAATCTCGTCACGATCGTTTCCGACCACGAAGTTCTTTACTCTCTCCGCATGCAGTCCAGGCACAGTCTCTTGATGAGTCTGTGCCTGGCTGCCATATCCATTTTTCTTTTTTTTAATCCACTCGTCACGAGATTCTCCCACTCCGAACGAAAGACGTTATGATCGATGGCTCATGTTATAGAGAAGGCCGGAACTGGAAAATATTTGTAATATTTGGATGGCATTGCCTTTGTTTTTATGTTTTATTTCTCTTTCTCCTTTCCTTTATATTCCCTCACTTTACGCATTTCCCTCTATTTCTCTCCTCGGGGAAGTGTTGACAGGGAAGACTTCAGAAGAATCAGAAAAAAACAAAAAAAAAACAAATCATTGAAATCATGAAAGATTGGAGAGGCTGTTTCTTTTCCTTTTTGAGCATCTGACCCGGCGTTCCTTGCATGTCCTTTTTTTTATCCTTTGCCTATTCTCTCTGTTCTCTTCATACAACTCATCCTCTGCATTTGCTTTTTTTGATATCTTTTCATTTCAGCATGTCATACTGCTTTTATTTTCTTTCTATCTTGATTTCCATTTCCTATGATTCGCCTTTTTTTCTAAGTTCCCTGCATCATTCTAACCGGGCACAGCGAGTGAGTTCTGGTCTGCTTGTGTATGTCATATTATTCTTTAATTGAGAATTGCAATGAACATGATCTTATATTCTCATATCTTCCAAATGGTCAATAAACTCTGTGTTTAGTTATAAAAAGGGCTATGTTGACACCAGTAATATTTCAACGCCTTAGTGAGTTGTGAACTATATCAAACCGAATTCCAAGTTACAGATTGAAATTCAAATGGATTGTCGAGATACTTCAACTATACATACACAAAACATGACAGAAACGAAAAGAAAAAAAAAGAGAAAGACAGCCACAACGCCTAGAACTGCGCCTTGAATGCCGATGGTCATCATATTTTTGGAAAATAGAGGGTATTGAGAGAACAAGATGACAGGAAATCGAGAGAAAAAAAGGAAGACCAAAAAAAGATGTCAAAAGTCTACTTAGTTCCCCATCCACGAAGTCTCATTCCCTCCTCAATAGCAGTCCAAATACCCTCAACGACCTCCCGATCCCGCCATCGCCCACCACCGTGAACACCATTCTTCTCGTCCCACCGCTCAACAGCATACGTCTCAACACCACGACCCCACCCCTTAACCTGAGTAGGCGGGTCCTCACCCCGCCACCCGACATACACACCGGTAGCATGCTTGAACAGCTCCGGGGGCGAAGACCACTTGTAAGACTTGAACTGCCAGGTCTGGCCGGTAGTAAAGACGGCGACGAGTCGGTTCCAGTACTCGGGCTTGAAGTTGGTCGTGCCGTCGACGACGATGAACTTGGTTGGACGGGGGGGCTTTCCGCCGGCGCGGGAGCTTGAGCTCGCGCTGGGGTTCGAGGGGTCGCCGTTCAGACGGAGTGGTCGCTCGAGCTTCACGAGGTTGGCGTCGGTGGCGCTCGAGAGGGTTGGGTGGTCCGGGGGTACGAAGATGCCTTCTTCGAGGAAGGATTTCACGTTCGACATGCGGATGAGAGAGGAGGCGGAGGGGGAGATTAGGATGATTGGGTCCGGGCGGGAGTGGGAGGAGCTCGATTTGCGCGATGATGGCATAGAGAGGCCGGCTGATGGTGCCGGGATGGTGCCCTTGCTGCCCGGTTTGGCGCTTGGCTGGCCGGGGCGACTGCGGTTGCGGTCGAGGAATAATTCGGCGCTCTTGCGGACGTGCGAGAAGTCCTAGGAGTGGGTGTTAGCTTGCTGTGGTATATCGCATCCTGTCTAGAGTAAACTCACTGTCGGCTTGATTCCACGGAGTACTGTGTTGCGGTCACCGGTCTTGCGCTCCCCATTGTAGATCTCCTGTAGTCGAGGGTCAATCTGCTTTTGTGGGCGGCCAAGTTGAGTCCCAGCCTGGGCTGCTCCTGTGGTTCCACTGGGGACGGTAGTAACACCGCCAACTGCCCCGGCGGCAATTCCGGCGGCATTATCGGCTTGCGCAACACCTGCGGCTGTGGCGGCGGCCTCTGCAGCGGCAGCAGCGCCCTCGAGGGGTTTGATATGTTCGCTGTCGTCGGAGGCACCCTCTAGCCAGGTGAAAAGGTCAAGACGCTCGAGGAAAATAAGAATCTGAACACTTTCTTCCTTCTCACCCTCTTTCGTCTGCTGCTTCAGCGCTTCGTTGAATTCCTGCGCCTTGGCGATGTACTCGGGAATGGCGACATCTTTGTTCTGCCAGGCGAAAAGGATGCTGCGCAGGTCAACAGGGGACTTGGTAGATGCCGAGATGAATCTTGTGAGGGTTGACAGAGCGATTGTTTGAGGGGTTGGTTGGGCGAAGTAGAGATGTGTAGCTTTGGCTAGGTCGTCTGTGGCAGGTTGGTCGGAGAGCTCGGACGAGGTCGTTGGCGTTGGGAGGTTGCCAGAGGCAATCGCACGTCGCAGTGACAGAAGGGGATCTTGGAGTGCGGCCTCGGATGCCATTGTTGTAGATAGGGCAGTGGCCCTTGGTTGCAGTAGGTATATGTAAGAAAGTTGTCGGGGCTGGGATTGAAGAACGCGCATTTGGAGTCGAAGCTCCGCAGACTGCACGTGACGCGGTGTTCCAATTCATTTCAAGTCTGACCTTTTACTTCTTCTTCAAAAGGAAAGAATAGTTTGAATAAAACATTTTCATAAAAAGATAGCTGACATTTGATCCAATTCACCTCGCTTAGTCTTTGCAACTCCTTCATTGACTATACACCAACCATCACTGCATATCCTCTGCTCATATACTCGACTGTTCCGAACAATCAACGGAGACACCGCAGTGCAGGACTGATAGACCGCCACATCCAGCTCCATGCACCGAAAAAGGCAGTGATGCCAGTGAAGAGAATCAAAGTTCCATATTGGCTTTCGTAGCCAGTATTGCCACTCAGACCACTCGAATCCCCCAAAGACCCCGACTGAAGCAGCACTGTACTCAACGGTCCACTAATAACATTTCCAATCCCTCGTCCACCAGCAAGAAGACCAAAGACAAGTCCAGTATCCAGTGATGGCGATGAGTCACGCTTGATCTGAGTAATGACCCCAGACCAGGTGGAGCTGAACCCACCGGCAAAGAAGCCATACGTGATGGAGAAGACAGTAAGAAGGGCAATGGCTGTCTGTGATGAGTCTGCGCTTGACGATGATGCCATACCCCAGAATAGAAATACCGATAATGCGGAGCCAACCGAAGATAGCAGCATGATGTTCGTGACGGAGAAGCGGTCACAGAGTGCTCCTAGGGCGATACCACCAACGATAGAAGTTGCGTTGAATAATGAGACTAGCATTGTACCGGTATTCTGGGATAGGCCGACAGTCCTTGTTGAATAAGAAGGGAGGAATGTTGTTGGCAAGAAATATCCAAAACTCTGGATAATATTCCCTGTTTGCAGCATCCAGAATGTGGCTTGTTTGAGGAAACTCAAATCTAAGCGGCGGGCTGAAGAAGAGGACGATATTGGGATACGAGGTTTCAAGAATGGCAAGGCCATGAGGGTGGTTAACAACTAGATTCCGACAATTCAAAAATTGTTAGCCCCAACTTGATAGCCCGATGGTTGAGTATCAAGGCCAAGGCACAGTTTATTATGCTTCAACCAATTCACAAAGGGGAAAGGAGCTGGCTCATACCGTAACCACAGTCCAAGCCCTTAGCGTAGTACTCGAGCCAAACCTATTCAGACAAGCACTAGCAATGAAAGGCAAGGCAACTCCAACAATACTCTTTGCGGCCCACATCGTTCCAAGAGCCAGGCCCTTCCGACGCAAGAACCATTGGTCAAGGTACAAGGAAGACGGACTGAACAAGAGTCCATTCCCAATGGCACACATTACACCCTGTGTGGCGATCAAATGCCATACCTGCTCCGAGAATGAGGATAACAGAGATCCTATCACGGTGATGACCAAGCCTGCGGGTGCAGAATAGTATTGTAGATGTGGGTATCTCGTTAAGAGCGTGAAAGTGATAGGCGAGAGAAGATAGAGAAGTCCCTATGAGAAGACATTAGAGTAGACTGAAGTCGTCTTCGTTTATTCTTTGCATACGGTGGACGTAGTTCCAACAGTCGCTAGGTCATTCTTGCTTCCCTGTAGGACGTCATGTGTTGAGTAGTACTCTTGAAAGACGCCGAAAACAGTGGAGAACCCTAGATGTTTCGTTAGTATTTACATGTGGTTTTTGTTTAGTCACAACAGACCCCAGACTGGTATCTGAATGAAACAGCATGAGGCTAACATCAACCATGCAGCTTTCCCTCCATCTGCCGGAGGAAGTGTAGGTTGCTCGATCTCGGAGACGTCTGTAGATCTGCGGGGATCAATCTCGTTCAGCACAAGGGTTTCTTGATTAGAGTTGTTCATTTTGTTTTAGAATCAATGGCATAAGCATTGCATATGAGTTGTAGATGAGAATCACAGAGGGAAGAGAAGGAACGAGGGGTCGCGTGAGGAGTTTCCCCTCGCGATGATTGACTCATCTTGTTCTTTCAGCCTATCATCTCGCATAGTCAAATTGAACAAGTTTGACCTTTTTTTTCATAGAAAATGCACTAACCTGGCTTTGTCAAAGAGATATCGGAGAATCAAGCATTCCAAGTCGAGATATATCGATCTATACTCCCTTACTAACATTGAAGTCAGGCCACCAAGTGAGGCCAATAAAACAGGACAAAGTTACATTGTTCATACAAGCTATCTAGCATCTCGAAAAGAGGCCATACATATCCAAGATTAAACTGGACAAATCGTGAAAGATCAAGTGCTGCAACTCAGGCAGACACGATTCTCAAAGACCCTGACCCAAATGGTATTTCCCATAACCAAGAACCAATCCCAAACCACGCCAATACGCCATCCAGAGTCCGAAAAGTCGGAAGAAAAAAAAAGAAGCCGGCACAGAAAACATAAAAAGAAAGTTGAAACAAGTAGTCCGAACGCCCGTGCCCGCCTCGCTGTAAGGTATCGAAATGAAATCACACGAGAAAAGAAATTTTGGGTCGTAAGAAACGTTAAATCCACGGCGGAATTTTCCCTTTATCACAGGCCCACCATTACTACCACGCGGATGGTCGTATTACGAAGAGATAGACGGGTTTTTGGTGGGTGTTGCATCCGGTGCGTCCTCCATGGAGATATCCAGAGAGTCAGACGGCTCGTTCTTGTCACCTCCAGCTTCGGTCTTGCGGGAAGGTTGATGATTATCACCAAAAACCGTCGTGATGGCTAGGAAATGTTGGGTGCGGAGGCGAGGATCGCCAGAAGGAGGACCAGGAGCTGGGGGAGGAGCTGGTTCCGAAGTTGGTGTGGTCGCCATTGTGCCACGTCGAATCAGATAATCACCAAGGCTGAGTTTCTTCTTGGCAGGGGTGGCTGCGAGTGCAGAACCAGAAGATGGCACGAGAGAGATTGGGGAAGCTGTGCCATGAGAACTAGGTGATGCGAGACTCCCTGTCGACATGGAACCAGGACTAAGCGCTGACGGGAGGTTTGAGGCCCTTGGCGGTGGCATGGAAACATGTAGATTGCCACGATTGCCAGCCCCAGGAACCCTAAAGATATGCGCCGCAGTGGATGGCCAATAAGGCGGAAGTGACAGCTTGAACAGATCACTGCTAGACGCGGGCGCGGATGATTCCAGCTTGTGTGAGAGAGCACCTCGAGTATCAACATCGCCTTGGACAAGTCGCGCTGGAGGGTCATAATCCATTCCTCTGATCGCAATCCCATGATAGTTGTATTCAGGCTGGGGATATTTGGACTGGTGGAAAGACCACCGAGGGGGCATCGCCAGAGGGCCGTGATCAGCGGGTATTCCCATTCTGTCGGAATCTTCCTTGAGCAACTCGATATGAGACCTGTCGTCGATTGGGAGCGGGAACCATCCGTACCACCAGGGGAGGACTCCAGGTGGCACGACACTCAAGTCGCCGGCCTCCCATGCATTTCGCTGAGCCCAGTCCTCTGCGATGTGATGTCCCGCGCACCACCGAATCTTAAGCATAAGTGTTGGATGGATCATGTCGAGTCTGTATCCTCGTCTCAGACGTTCTGCATGTAAGAACGAGCGTTCAACATCACCGGCATAAAGTTCAGTTTGAGCGTCAACATAAGCAACTTCAGGCCGGGACGATTGTCCGGCCATCTCAGAAGATCGAGACGCGCCAGGCTGGTGGTAAGGTTTGAAGTCGTAACCAGTTTGGGTTGAGCTCGAGACTGTTGCAGGGGTGGACTGTGTCAGAGGGCCACTAGAACGCTTTTTCCTTTTGGGATTGCCAGTTCTAAGCTGCTCCAGTTGTTGGAACTGCTTTTCGGCGTCCGCTATCTTGCGTCTTTCGCGACTGGAGAGCTCTGGCAATGTTAGCTGATGCGACGCCGAGGGGCTGAGATCGCGACTGCCAGTATGGCGACCACGCGCAGAACCAGAGGTTGATCGGGCGTCGGCTGCGGGGTCATGCTCATCAAGATGCTTGGTGTTCTCGCTACCGGCCCGACCGATGTCAACAGGAAGACCGAGGGTTTTTGGCTTCTTGCCCTTGCCCTTGCTCTTCAACTTTGACCTTGCGTGTTTGTTCGCAGGGGGCTTGGCGCGACGATCAAGCTTGTTCAGTACGCAAGCTTGAGGGTTTCCACAAGCACAACCACCGAAGTTGGCCAATGTGGTGCTAATGCAAATAGCGGCGTCCTTCGGATCTACCACCCTGTCCTTGAACTCCTCCTTCACTGTCGCGTCAGCCATGAAGAAAGAGTCGTCGAAATACCACATGGTGGTAATTTCCGAGTTTGCAGGGATTGGCTTTTTAGCGACGAAACAAAAATGGTACTGCCGGCCATTGGTGATGTAAATTTTCAAGTTCACGTTGGCCTCACATGCCCGCCTGACGTAGCGGAGCTCGTTTCCTTCCTGGCGACTGTCGATGTACAAGTCGAGCTGCCGGTTGAAGAACACGAAAGGCATGGCATGCCCCAATTCCTCCCATCGGTTGCTGTCGAGCTTTTTGTAGTCTTTGACGTGGCCTAATTTGCCAAAGATTTCACCGACAATATCGTCCTTTTTGATTGGATCTTGTGTTTTCAAGATCTTGTGAACTGGGTGCTTACCACCGATCTCAATTGTCGAGTCCGTGATGGTTTCTGTTGTCAATGAGGGCCAGCGAGACCGATCCATGGCCTCTTCGGACCGTTTGGCAAAGTCTTCAACGCTGAGTCCATCAGAAACTCGGGCTAAGATTTGTGGGTCCTTTAGCCACGCAACAATTTCATTCACAAAATCCACGCCGTAATTGAGAATACTCTTCGATTCAACAAATTGATCATCGCGGTCGTAAAGAGAGAGGAATTCGTCCGAATAATAAGGGATAGAAGGGCCAGGGATGCTTGTTGGGCTCATCGCAGCGGAGGTGGAGGATCGACGGTTTCGCGGTTCAGCCGAGAGACCCGGGGGAACCGAAATACCACTCATCGAAGTCGATGGGCGGCGAGACACCTTTGCTTTCTTGGATGGTGGTTGCTCACGTGAACTAGAATCATGTCGTCTATGACCAAAGGCATTCACATCGGCATCATTGGACTTTCTCTTTTGTGATTTGGGGCCAGATCGTCTTGATTTCCGGTCACCGTCCTCGCTTTTCTCTCGAATCCGCCGCAGCCGTTGTCGTTCGTGGGCACGACGGTTATCAAGGGGCCGTGGCTCGCAGTCGACACAGTTGTGCACATCCGGTACTCTCTTATCCGGATAGTAGCAGAGAATGTGCTGCCATGTCTCGCACCCTTCGCAGAAAACCGTGTTGCCATCATCTTCATCGAACGAACAAATGCATTTGATGGTGTAAGGTTCTTCATCGGGTGCGCCGGAGTCAGAAGCGGCGCCGTCGACGGCAGCAGGGGACCCGCGATGGGCGTGGACCGGATAGGAATCCGTTGTGGCGTGCGTGATGGCGAGGGAGGAGGTATCTGTCATCGCCGACAGATAACCCCCTCTCAGGCGAAGACAAAATGATGTTTTCTTGACAGAGGCGTAGCCAAGCTGTCACTGTTCAAGTCGCATATCAATTTTTCTCGTAGTCGTGTAGCTTTCCAATCTCGTCTCGTTGGACAGTGGACGCGTTGGAAAGTCGAAGACGGTGCGATCACAAGGAGGAAGCGAAAGGGGGGGGGGGAGGAAGTCGTAGAATCGATGATCGGAAGAGATGAAAAGAGGTTGGCGCAAAAGTTAAATGAGAGAAAGGAAGGAAGAAAGGAAGAAAAGCGCGAAGGAAAGAGGGTAGGAGAAAGGAGAGGAAAAAGAAGAGTGAGTTTGAGGAACTGGAGACAGAGGAAGGAGGAGGCTATGGGGGGCCTAAGGCAGAGAATGGGCCGTCCAGGTAGGTAGAGAGACCAAGTGCGTAGGGGTGAAAGGGGGTGAGGGGAGGAGCCGGAGGCCTTCGAGGGGGAGGGGAAGGACTCGACCCGAAAACAACCATGGGCTGGCTCTGTCTTTCTTCTGAATTTCATTGTGAACAGAGACACCTGGGCAAAATTCTCAAAATTTGAAAATTCCAAGGTTACCGGTATGGTAATTTGGTAATCTGCAAAACCGACTGTTCTCAGTAAAGTCCATGGAATACACTAGCCCTAATAGGGACTAGCGTTGATTCGAGGTAGTGGGGAAAGTCACGGGAATGTCATTGGATGCCCTAGGCATCCCGGAGAGGTAGTCAATGGGGCAATCCATTGCGGAAGGTTAGCATCTAAATGGGTGAGTAGGAAACTGATATAAGAAGGGAAAAAATGGCCCATAGCTATATCTTCAATCCAAAAATGGATCGAGGGGTAGCCCTATTGGCCCTTCCACTGGGCTATCATGAAAGCCAGGCCTGTCATGCAGTAATGTGAGATATCGCCATCAATGTGAGCAAGAACCCAAAAAATAGTATAGGTCTTGAATGTGATGGAAGGATATGTGATCTGGTCCTCCTTTAAACCTCTTAGGAGAACGGGGATTTTCTTGTGGGAGGACAAAGGAATTCCTACGAACTCGGCTCGGGAAAGAAATCCGTGAGAACGCAAGGGAGAATAGGAGGCGATAACGGCTACCTACGGGGAGTATTAGAGGTTGAAATGAGAGGTATTTTGAGGATAGGCCGATGAAGTATCCAGGCAGTATGACGGAGTATAAGGAAGTATGAAGAAGCAGGTAGAAAGTAACATGGGGAAAAACGGGTAGAGAATGCTTGGGAGAGATCGGAGGAGATGGGGAAGGATATGGTTTCAAAGAGGGGCAAAGGGTCATCTGGCTCTTGTACGACAAGGTTTCAGGCATATATTTGCAAGTATATTTGCAAGTATAAAATATGAAAACCGGAAGGGAGAGAAGGGAAAAGAGGTGGGAGGTTTTGGGGGTTCCGACCCAAGTGGTAAAAGGGGGGGCTTGTTAGGATTCCGATATGATTTGTGATTTGCGCGCTATTTGCCACAAAGTACTCCGTACAAAGGAGAAAAAAAATAAAAATTTAAAGTAATCAAATTGTCCGGTCAGTTTTCGTATAATATATGCAAAAGTTACTGTATTCTATTATAATTGGTATTGCACTTCTTTGTCTTTGGGATGATCTCCATACATGGATATATTATGTACATAATGCTAATCAGAATCACGTTGCGCAACAACTTCTTATATTTGGCAATGCTATTATACAAGGAACAGAAAGAGTGAAGTCTTGAACTTCAAACGAACGATAACTAATTAATAATAACAAACAACAATGCTGGGTCGCAGACATGCCGATTCCACAATTCCATTTCTATACCATCTCGCATGTATCCTTGCGTCAATCTCCATTGGTGTATTATGAAGGCTCTGTGGACATGCTATGAATGAGTCGCAATTCAAATGCCCCGGAACCCTCTGGGATTACGTCGAGTTTCCCCCGATGCGGGTACGTCTTCGGTGTCCGAGGTTCTCTTGATCCTTCGCGGTCGCCATGTCCGCGTCCACTCATATCCACTTGTCTTTCAATTTCGACAACGGGCAAAAAGTCTTGGAATCGATGGAGGAAGAAAAGCAGGCCGAATACAAAGATATTCACATATGGGGTGATCAGTCTGGCTCCTCGGGGCCCGACCAGATTTCCCTTAGGTACTGCCCACAACCCGCCGCTCAGCAATAGTATGGTACTGATGACTATCCCAAAATAGGTGCCGAATGGCTGGAAAGAGGAAGTATACCGCCTGGTAATTCCATTCACTCTGAGCCGTTCATTGAAGTGACGGTAGATAGCGAATGACACAAGCGAGGAAATGAAACCGGCGCTCGTGACGAGACGGAGAAGATAGGTGTTCATGACTGTACTTGGGACTTTCACTGAAACAAAGGCAAGAGAGGAGAACACGGCGGATGCCGCAACGGCCAAATATGGAACATCCCAACGGTTGCGGGTGGAAAATATCGAGGGCGCATGGCCGAGCTCCGACATTGCACAAAGTGTGCGAGAAGAGAGATACAAAAAGGATCGCCCAGAAGCCACCGCGGAGAGCAGGATTGCAACCATCGCGATCGTAGGGACAATTTGAATATTTGCATCTTTGAGTCCGATCAGGTAAGGAGAAAATCCGGATCCCGTTCCGTTGTTTGTCAGACGTGTCTCATTGAAAGGAGCCATAACGCCCATGGCCAAAGAGCTCAGGATATACGGCAATGCCGTTTGAGCAACGTTGGATGTGACTCTACCTGGGATGCTGGCGCTTAGAAGCGCTGTTTCGCCAAGTGATGCTGGCACAAGTGATGCTGGCATTTCCACTTGGTGCAAAATCAGCTCAGGGGCAAACGTGAAAGCAATAGAGCCATCGAGAAGACATTGGCAGAAAGCCAGGAATCGTCCCCATACACCTCGAACTAGATACTCGTTCATGGCGCCTGGATGTTTCCAGTATTTGAATCCCCATGCGGGCTGCGCGCCCACACCTCCAAGACCCAGAGCCAGGGAGAGGACGAAGAGGGTCGCCATTGTGGCGATCTTCATCGCAGTGAACACTCGCTCGGAGCTCTTGAAGAGTTTATCCGGTAGGAGGTTGAATCCAACAACGATGGTCGTGATGATAACCAATCTGATTGCGATCGTGGCCCCCGGTTTCCACAGGCCGAGGTTGACCATCGCCGAGGTGATTTCATATGGGACGAACAAAGCGAGGGTGTACCAGCGGAGGTATGCTGAAGCAAATGCCAGACTGCTTGACATGTATAAGTAGCCGTTGGTGACTAGTGTCCCATGTTGCGATGGCATGTGAGTGGATACTTCGGCCATGCCCGTAGTCATGGCCAAGGTCAGAATTGATAGGATTATATACGACAGTAGTAGCGAGGCAGGTCCGCCAACCGCGAGGGCCTGGCCCGCGCCGATGAACAAGCCAGTGCCAATGGTCGGACCGACAGCCATGGTGGACTAACAATGAATATAGATAATGAAGTGGTTATAGGAGACGAGAGTAGAAGGTTGAGAATGGTTTCGGTTCGAGAGGGAAATTGTCAAGGGACCAACCACGGCATCTCCAAACATCGCTCTTTCCTCATGTAACGTGGATAGTCCGGGAAAGAAAAAAAAAACATCAACCTTGAATTCAACTAATTAGTCCCAAAAATACTACCAAGTGAGATCACAGGAGTATGCAGAAATCAAATGTAAAGGGTATCATTGATTGTAAAGGAAAATAAATGGGGTGATGGCCGAGAAGGTGGGAAGACACAAGTATTGGGTATTTTTCAAGAATTTCCAATGTCTTGCAGTGCTTGGAAGGAGAAGATCACTGAGAAGCCATGTCTGTTTCAGCGTATTCGAGCCATTCTCCAGACAAAGATCTTTTCCAGAACCGAACTGTGCCATCATCTCCAGAGGAAATCAACGAGTCACCTAGTGTTATATCAGTGAAAGGACTTGGGGCGGTAGACAAATAAAGAAACACTCACCAGAGAACGAGAATTGAACCTGCCACACATCGAGGTGTTTGCTGTCAATGCAAGCCACCTGTTTGAACGAGTGCCGAAATTGTGAATCCCCGCTGGGTTGGCGATCAGTTGCCGATGCAGGCACACGGCTCGCTAGAGCAGAGCCGATCCCGGACTGCGATGTCGCTCGGGGCGACAGTGACTGGGACTGGGACTGGGACTGCGACTGCGACTGCGACTGAATGCGAAGTTCCGCCTTCCGGGCGTTAGAGCTCTGTGGTGCTTGGCCGGCTGGCATCGTGTACACTTCAAAGATGCGGACAAAACCATCCTTGCCGCCGCTCGCAATAAGATCATAGCCACGCACAGAGCCATTAGCCCAGGAAACGTCTCTCACAAGACCGCTGTGCCCAGTCAGTTCAATTGCATGGTAGAATCGGCGGTTTGCGTCGGTGCGATAGATCTTGACGGTGTCCATGGCAGCTACAATTAGCGACAGGCTCTTTCGATCAGAATCCGGTGAGATAGTGTGAGTGATATCGGCAGGGTCATGATGAAATTGAACTTTGAAGCTTGTTTCCTCTCCGCGTTCCGGGGCGGTGCACACTCGGAACTGGTCAACGGGTTGCCAATCTGCAAGGCTGTCGGGACTGGAGGGTTCCATAACCATGAGGTAGCCATCGCGTGTTATCACGGCCAGCCATGACTCCAGATCAATGTTGCGGAAGTCGAGTGATACAAATGGATGTCTTTGCGGTGCAGTCATGCGAAAGACCGACTTGAAACGCCGTCCTGAATTTGGTGGCTGGGTTACATCTTCTTGCCAAATTTTCAACTTCATGTCCTCTCCGACACTGCCAATATGTTGGCCGGTAAAAGGACCATTCCATGTGGCCTGAAATAGTAGTTTAGTACATGAGCCGCAATGGCAGCCTTAGAATTGCGGCTCTGCCTTGTTTGGGGACATACATCGCGAATCTCAGCGTCGTGCGCACGCCAGGTGTCTATCAGTTGCCATTGGCCATCCTTGAGATCCCACACTTTCATGCGGTGATCAGAAGAAGCGGTGACAATACGGTTGCCATAGAAGTTAAATCTGGTGACGGTGACAAGATCCCGATGGCCGGCGTCGAAGTCGGCAAATCCAGCCGTTATCTCGGGGCGCTCCACTGCCCCCATTGGAACGGACTGGGCTATCAGATTGACGAATTAGACAGCTGGGCCAATGACGATTTAAATTTCATGCATCTGCACGTATGGGGTATGAAACAGGTGGTTGACGTCGCCTTACCTTTCTTGGTCGCAAGTATCACGGGATACTCTCTCACCGCCAAACTTAGCGGTCAGATAACTATGGCAGAACGCGATAAGCTTATCGAGTATTTGGAGAATGAAGACAGATTGCGCGTCGCCGACGTGGGCTTTTCCTCTTGTTGCATAGGTCAATTCCTTGTGTGATACTCTTTGCAACAGAGGGAAGTTGTTCCTGTCATATCGGTCGTGTGTTCGCCATGCATACCTCAAGCACCCTCTCCCGTAAGGAGACTTGGCGTCTACTAGCCCTCGTGGGGGCCGGTTTAGCGATACTCAACACCACGTTCCAAGGGGATGGGGCACCTTTGGTGGCTTCAATTGCACTATGTGGCATAGTGTTTGCGGTGGCTTTCAGCCTTATCAGGTGGCTCGGGCCTGTATTTTTGAAGGCAGGACTTAAGGGCAAAGACATGGCGAAGCCTAGCCGGCCCGAAATGTATGTATATGGCTCATGAACTTGAAATCATAGCATGTGCTAATATTGTGATATAGACCTGAAACCATGGGCGCAGTCTGCGCAGTTGTGTATCTGATGTCCCTTATTATGTTCATTCCGTTTGCTTTCTACAAGGATATCGTTGCAGCCACATCGGGCGGCGGTAACCGTGACGTTGTGATTGAATCGCAACATATTGAGAATGGCCGATTCCTCCATCGATTCCCACATGGCAAGGTGAGACTTTGTTGTATATTTAGTGAGATATATCCCAAGCTAACGCTATGGAATAGCTTGCCTCTTACCTTTCTGGTCTTTTGTCTTTGCAATCCGTCGTGATTCTCGGAATTGGTGATGACCTATTCGATATTCGCTGGAGACACAAAGTCTTAATCCCTGCTTTCTCCGCAATCCCAATGCTCATTGTGTACTTTGTTGACTTTGGCGTCACCCAAGTCGTCGTGCCGGTGCCGCTGCAACCCTACCTGGGTGACGTTGTTGATCTTGGATGGCTGTACTACATGTACATGGCAGCAGTGGCAATCTTCTGTCCAAATGCGATCAATATGTTGGCAGGAATTAATGGTATCGAGGTTGCTCAGTCACTGGTGATTGCAATCCAATTGCTATTCAATGATGCGATGTACCTTGCACCCATGACACCATACCCGCACCCTGCCACTGACTCGCATTTGTTGTCGATCTACTTCTTACTTCCATTCATCGGTGTATCAGCGGCCCTTCTGTGTCATAATTGGTATCCGTCGAAGGTGTTTGTGGGCGATACATACTGCTATTTCGCAGGAATGGTGTTTGCCGTGGTTGGTATCCTAGGGCATTTCAGCAAAACCTTGCTGCTACTGTTCATTCCACAGATCTTCAATTTTCTGTACTCAACCCCCCAGCTCTTCAAGCTCATTCCGTGCCCTCGCCATCGATTGCCAAAGTTCAGCCCTTCCACTGGGTTGCTGGACGCTTCTGTCACGGAGTGGACGAGTCCACCATCGCCTCTAATCGATACCGCACTGCGCTTACTACACACCCTGAAACTGGTCCGAATCACTCAAGACGAGAATGGTCAAATTACTGAATCAAGTAATCTCACTATTTTGAATCTTTGGCTCGTGTGGATGGGTCCAATGCGAGAAGATCAACTGGCGTGGCACATGGTTGCAGTCCAAACTTTCTGTGGGATGCTCGGTCTGTTCGTACGACATCGCCTCGCGTTGCTCGTGTTTCCCCATGATAACAGGGAATTCGGTTTTATCGCATAGGTTTAAAACCGTCCTGGGTTAGAAGAATCCTTGGAACAGGCTCATCATAGAAGCATCATCTATTCAATGTATATATATTCAACACGGAAGGGATACACCCCAAAATTCTAAATTAACATTATATTCTTGTGCCGTACCAACTCAATAGGCTTGCGCCAAAATTCGATCCCTTGCTCTAACCATTTACTCGTGGTCCACGGCCTCGCGCAAACCAGGAGTTTCCCTAGCGATCTTTTTATCCCCAAAGTCTACACCGACCTGTTTGACAATGAGCCAGGCAGGCAATATCGCAATAGCCCACAAGCCAAAGTTGAGGTATACACTACCCACTGCGGCCATGATGCTCACGCTACTTAGACCATACTAGAGACACCTTGTTAGTATTGTGTTGCATGGAAGCTCGATAAGAAGTGTACATACGCTGACACACTGAGCGGCAGATTCAGTCCCACGCAACAAGCCCGCAATCCGGACGACCTCTTCATGATCATCGGCAAGGTTGCCCACCAAGAAAAACCTAATCAATTAGCATCATTCCAACCGAACCATCACCCATCGAGATTTAACTTACAGATACATATAGTTGAGCTGGAAGCTAGCAACCCAGAACAGGAAGAGGGTGAAGGCTCTTCCGAAACCCGGGTCAGTCCAGTCATATACCGGGTGTGTCTTGTTGAACTCCGTCGTCACCACTGAAGCCCAGACCCAGCACATGCCTTGCCATCCGACGACTAAGAAAAATGCGTATCGACTTCTCTTTTTCAGAGATATCCGCTTGGTGTCAAGGAAGGCTCCTAGAACGTTGCCGATGATCAAAGCAATCACACCGGAAAGGAATGACCCGAGAGCTCTGGCCCGTACTGTGAACCACAATCCCTCGTACGAAAACATCACAGCCTCTGTATACACAGCCTGGCAAATGAATGGAACAATGAACAGAAACTTGCGACTGATCCAAAGCTTCGACATGCTCTTTAGCTCGTATCCGATGCTGTTCGTCACCTGAAGTTGAACAGGGACTCCATCCTTTCGCTGTACCTGAGACGGATTGTTCAAAAGCAGACCAGCAAAGGGGCCAAGAGCCTGTAGCGCAATGAAAATCAGGTACACAGTGTATGAGATAGAGCCCGAGGTTGATCGATGGGCATTGATGCCTAGATTGATGATACCGCCGAGTATTTGTCCTCCAACACGGAAGCTAAGCCAGAATCCCAAGAAGCGTCCTTGGTTGTATGGCTCAGGATATGAAAGGGCAATTGCTGCTTCTGCCATCCAAAAGATGCCCGCTGATATGCCGCAAAGTGCCGCACCCAGGATCACCAGCCATTCTTCACCAAATCGGTTGTTTGTGTACAGCCCCGCTGCGTAAGGTGCATATCCCATTGTTCCCACAATGAGTGTCCATTTGATGCCGATAAATCGCACGACAACGCTACCAAAGAAACAAGAGACTACCATAAGTCCGAAGGTCAAGGCGTTCGCTGCGTTGACCAGATATGGCTTCTCTTCGCCTCCTCCACCCAAGGAGTTCATGGCGCCCCAAATTCCGGGCGCTAGAAAGTTGCAAAGACCAAGGATGAAGGCATTGTAGAATGTCGAGCGGTACCATTTCACTGTGAGGTCCTCAGTCAGCTTCATCTACTTCAAACAAGAACAGTATTTCAAGCTCACCTTTGTGTGGCCCATTCAAAGAACCTGCAACGTTCACCTCGTCACTCGGCGCAACATCTTTTTCAGAGTTCGTCATAATGAAGTTGAAGAGATAAATTAGTAGTCAAATTATCGAATTATTTTGACAGGCGTTGCGGTGGTTTATAACCGTGGCGCCCGCGCGAGATCTACTTTGTATACTACTCTATATCGAAAGTTGTCGGCTGGGCTGCCTCGAAGGTTCTGTCCCGCGCGATGCCAATATTGGGATGGATCCATTGTTGTGTTCTTTCAGACCCCTGTCTAGCTTCCAAGCCATTTAGCCTTGATACTTAGTTTATGTTGTCGTTCTGTGGTGGAATTACGTGCTCGCACGGAACTTTAAGGAGGCGGCACAAGACCTGCAAGCGAATAACCCGAATTGGAAACCGGTTGGAATGCTTAGTTCTAGTGATAAGGGTACTTGCAAACGAAGATAATAGCAAGAGGATTGATACTTAACAAAGGGATGTTCAGGATACAGATGTATGGGAACACATTATGGACCCCGGATTTGTATTCTATACAATACACGTGGAGTAGACTCAGAATACTTTTTAAACTTCAGTGATATCCGGAACTTATGTTGTACCAATCACTATAAAAAGATCTGGTTTATGTTACAGTTGCTACGAAGTATAGTAAACCTGAGATGGACCACATAGGTATATATTTCTATACCCACAGCTATTAAGCGGGCAAAGTCGATTAATAATTCAAACACAATCTCATTACTACTTTTGATTACAATTCCAGATCTTACCAAGCAGATATTCGCGATTTAGGTCCAAGGTGTTGAAATCCTGGGGCAGTTGCAAGTTTCGTCATCGCAACCCGGGATCACATCAGTTTGGAGATAAACTCAGAATTTGATGAGATTCAAATATTCGAATTTGTACTTGAATAGAGTAGATAACATTAGATATCTACTGAATCCTTCCATATATATCGCCAATCAGATTAATATTAATTCCTTTTGATCATTCTAATCCCCATAGTCCCCCATCTTTCGGCAAATATAAGAGCGTTGATCGACCCTCGGTCATCCAGTTTATCACGTCATTTATGCCCCGCCATGAGCAATGGATAACGACTGCTAGTAGGCCTCGGAAGTACGGAAACACTCTTATTGCGCCAATGTGAGACGAAATTATCCCATATGTCTTGCTAGGAAGTCCCAGAGCCAAGCGTTTAGTGGAGGTGCTCTAACCCTATGTACGTGCGCATGGGAGGGATTGGTATCACTGCCCCGCGCCCTAAAATGATGTGGGTTCTGGCTTTATCTTCTCGCCCGAGAGATTTATATAGACTGGTACCAAGCGCAATATAGATAGTGTCTAAGAGTTGGATTGGTGTTTCTCTGTGATCCCAGCTTCAAGTCATGCCACTACTACCCCCAAGCACCATGTCAACCACTACTACTTGCCTCCAACTCGAAGAGTTGCAGAAGACCCCAACTACTTTCCACCAATACTTGTTTTCGGAGTCCGTCTCAGATTACTCCAATGAGTCAAGATCTGAGAGTGAACCCCCCTCGCCGCGGTCTGAGGAGTCAACACAAAGAGTCTTGCTTCTCAAGGGGGCCCGTGAACAGTATGCGTTGGTAGATGATCATGCTATTCCTTCTGTCTTGCATGAGGGAGAGATTCTTGTCAAGGTATGACATGTCCCCGCCGACGGGATCTTGTATGACACGAGATGCTGACTATTGATTCGTAGGTTCTTGCAATCGGCCTCAACCCAGTCGACTGGAAGGGACCGTAAGTATCACTATTCCACAGCTAGAAATCAGCACTCCCAGATTCTAGTCGATGACTAACCCATGAATCGATTAGGGCATACAACTTTGGTATCCCTAGCCTGCCATGGATCAACGGGCGGGATCTGGCTGGTCTTGTACTACAAGTCCCCAAAGGGTCATCACGTCTTCGTGTAGGGGATGTTGTGCTTGTCCCATCAACAGATTACCGGGATATTAGGAAAGCGGCATTCCAAGAATATGCCATTGCCACCGACTTCAATGCTGCCCGAATTCCTTCTTCAACATCTATCCACGCTTCAGCTTCCGTCGGAGTCGCATTCGTCGCTGCTGTGTTGGCTTTAGGTGTCTCATTTGGAATAGACTTCTCCCTCATCACAAAAACTCCGGGTCCTAATTTGCCCAATATTATCAAAAAGCTTGACAGAAATGATGTACCCGCCGACATACATGAAGAATGCTTCGCATCATTATTGGACTCAGAAAAACCACAACGTGGGGACTGGGTTGCTATCTGGGGAGGTAAGACTATCAACGCCTCCATTCCTATGATCTGACTACTGACATTCATACTCCAGCCTCAACAACTACTGGCCTGATAACTCTTCAACTGGCGAAACTCGCCGGGTTACGCGTAATTTGTGTAGCCGATGCAGCACGGCATGGGGCTAAGCTTGTCCAGTCCGGTGCAGATCTGCTAGTCGATCGACATGACATCGATCGTGCAGTGGAAATTATCCGCGGTGTCACCGGGGGCAAACTGCGATATGCCATTGATATAGTCGGAAGAGACACAGCAACACAGCTTGAAAAGGCTCTTAATCCTGATGGCCACGCCCATCTCCTTGGATTCAGCGGTCTGCCTAAAGAGAAAAACCCCGGGGTACAATATCACACTGTGCCCATTAAGCTCTTCCACACGGCTCCTACCGTGGGTGAAGCTATGGTGTGCTGGTTGGAGGATCTTCTGCAATCGACAAATCTCACATTACCAGAGATTGTCCATGCAGAGGGTGGGTTAGAGGGTATTAATGCTGCGCTCGAGACATTGCGGAGTGGTTCAGTGTCTGGAAAGAGGATCGTGGTCGATCTGGGTTCTTCGCCTCAGTAGCCTCCGGGTTCCGTGCACTCTTCCTACACTTGATGAAATTTTGCTTTAGAGATACGGGCCTTGGCGTTTTGGTATATGACTTTATGTAGAGCTGGGTTTAGACTATGGAACAAGTTCAAAATTTGACAGTTCTTTTGCTAAGAACATATGATTGCGTCCTTGAGATTGTGGAATACAGTGAATCGATGCATACAACCTACAATCAGCTTGATCATGATGAAATTCAAATGCAATATTATCGGAGTATAGCGAGGTTCCCCAGAGGTTCCCCATACCCACTTGGGTTATGCCACAACACCCTGATCGCAGTACAAGCGTTGAGTCAAAAAATGGCGGCCGATCGGAGGCGGAACCTCGCAAGTCACAGCCAATCAGCGCGTTTGAATTACATTGGTCCGGAGCGGTCTACGGGTATCCGCCGGAAACCGAGCTTAGCCGCGTTCCCCTTTTTGGATCATCCAGCGCCGACCGGTATCGGCCACCCCCTGTGTTGCCACCTCGGCCAATAAAATTTGTACCATTCGCCGCTGACCGGCCGAGACCGGCGTTGCCCCTCGAGAAGCTGTCCAGCGACATCGCGGATGCTTCAGAGCAGAAAAATATATCAGTCATTCACATTCCAGTTCCCTTGGTCTCGGTACTTATCATTTACTACTATATTGCTTCATTGAAGCTCCCACCCGCTATCTCTTCTTTCTCTCATCCTAAAACCTTGTACCCTCATATTCTCTCTTAGCTGTTTTTTTATTCCCCCCCCCACCATGCCTTCCGCCGACTCAAAACCCAAGACCTTGTATGACAAGGTTTTCCAGGACCACATCGTCAATGAGCAAGAAGATGGAACTTGCTTGATCTACATTGACCGACACCTCGTTCACGAGGTCACATCTCCTCAGGCTTTCGAGGGACTCAAAAATGCTAGCCGCCAGGTCCGCCGGCCAGATTGCACACTGGCCACAGTTGATCACGTATGTTCAATCCCATATTCACCAGCAGCTCAGGACTAATTGGTCATTTTCCTTACGATAGAACATCCCCACCACTTCACGGAAGAATTTCAAAAATGCCGCCGACTTCATCAAAGAGAATGATTCGCGTCTCCAATGCACAACCCTGGAGGAGAACGTGAAGGATTTTGGCCTCACCTACTTCGGTATGGGTGACAAGCGCCAGGGTATTGTCCACATTATTGGCCCGGAGCAGGGTTTCACTCTGCCCGGCACGACTGTCGTCTGCGGTGACAGCCACACCTCCACACACGGTGCTTTCGGTGCCCTCGCGTTCGGTATCGGAACTAGTGAAGTCGAGCACGTCCTCGCAACCCAGACCCTCATTACCCGCCGCAGCAAGAACATGCGCATCCAGGTTGATGGCGAGCTCCCCGCTGGCGTTACCAGCAAGGACGTCGTTCTCCACATCATCGGTGTCATTGGCACTGCTGGAGGTAACGGTGCTGTTATTGAGTTCTGCGGATCCGTCATTCGTGGTCTGAGCATGGAGGCCCGTATGTCCATGTGCAACATGTCCATTGAGGGTGGTGCTCGTGCTGGTATGATCGCACCCGACGAGATCACTTTCGAATACCTGAAGGGCCGTCCTCTGGCCCCCAAGTACGGCAGCGCAGAGTGGAACAAGGCCACCAGCTACTGGTCCAGCCTGAAGTCGGACGTTGGTGCCAAGTACGATAGCGAGGTTTTCCTTAACGGCAAGGATATTATTCCCACCATTTCATGGGGTACCTCTCCCCAGGACGTGATCCCTATCACTGGTGTTGTCCCCAGCCCCGATGACTTCGAGGATGAGAACCGCAAGGCCTCTTGCAAGCGTGCTCTCGAGTACATGGGTCTTGTCTCTGGAACACCCATGAAGGAGGTCGTGGTTGACAAGGTCTTCATTGGATCTTGCACCAACGCCCGTATCGAGGATCTGCGTGCCGCTGCCAAGGTGGTTAAGGGCCGTAAGGTCGCCTCCAACATCAAGCGCGCTATGATCGTCCCTGGATCCGGTCTCGTCAAGGAGCAGGCTGAGTCCGAGGGCCTCGACAAGATCTTCACTGATTCCGGTTTCGAATGGCGTGAGGCTGGCTGCTCCATGTGCCTGGGCATGAACCCAGATATCCTGTCCCCCAAGGAGCGCTGTGCCAGTACCTCCAACCGTAACTTCGAAGGTCGCCAGGGTGCCCAGGGTCGTACTCACCTCATGTCACCCGCCATGGCCGCTACTGCCGCCATTGTCGGCAAGCTCGCTGATGTTCGTGAGCACATCGTAGCCAGCCCCGTCCTCGGCAAGGCCTCGCCCAAGATCGACGTTGAGCCCGTGTTCGAATCCCCCGAGACCGAGGACGAACTCGACCGTGTTCTCGACTTCCCTGCCGACAACGAGCCCCACGCCAACTCCTCTGCCCCTTCCAGCGGCGGTGGCAAGAGCACTGGTCTCCCCCCCTTCACTACCCTGAAGGGTATCGCCGCGCCTCTGGATCGCGCCAACGTCGACACCGACGCCATCATCCCTAAGCAATTCCTCAAGACCATCAAGCGCACAGGTCTCGGTACTGCGCTGTTCTACGAGCTCCGTTACACCGACGACAAGGAGAACCCCGATTTCGTCCTGAACCAGGGCATCTACCGCGACTCCAAGATTCTTGTTGTTACCGGTCCTAACTTCGGATGCGGTAGCTCCCGTGAGCACGCCCCCTGGGCTCTGCTCGACTTCGGTATCAAGTGCATCATCGCCCCCTCCTTCGCCGATATCTTCTTCAACAACACCTTCAAGAACGGCATGCTTCCCGTTGTCGTCTCTGACGAGGTTGCTCTGCAGAAGATTGCCGATGAGGCCCGCGCCGGCCGTGAGGTCGAGGTCGACCTTGTTAACCAGGAGATCAAGGATGCTCAGGGTAACAAGATCACCGCCTTTGAGGTCGAGGCTTTCCGCAAGCACTGCCTTGTCAACGGCCTCGATGATATTGGTCTTACTCTCCAGATGGAGTCCAAGATCCGCACTTTCGAGTCGAAGCGCACCCTTGATACCCCCTGGTTGGATGGAAGTGCTTACCTTCGCCGTGACCGCCGTGGCGCGACTATGGTCGAGGCTGCTCCTGTTCCTAAGACCAACCGTGGCGATGTGAAGAACGAGCCTCTTGAGTGGTAAAAGTTATTCTTTGTGTTTATCAAGTGCTTGTTTTTGGGCATTGGCATCGCAATTCATTTTCGTGTCATGTTGTTTGGATTTCAGAATCATATTCCCCTACTTGTTGCGGCTACTATTTCTGTTTTGTTTTGCCTTATAATCATGGGCTATTTTATAATATGGCTAGCCTACGAATTTCAACGAGAATGAATCATGATCGTGGATTTGTAATTCTATATAAACAATTCTCTTTGTATTCCTCCCTCTACTCTATAATGTTCGTTAGGTATGTGTATCAATCTGTGGGCTATACATATCTCTCCTAAGAGAACACCCAAACCATTATTCTCCCTTGTTTGTCCCCAGGCCAACATCATCGGCGGACTGCAATGTCGGTGAGCTTTCTACGCCGTCCACGACCAAATGTCTGACATCCGAAGGCCCAGCAAACTGATTTGTTGCAGTAGTAAACCAGGTCACAAGGCTAAGCAATGTCAACAGTCCGATAGCTGCGCTGGTATAATTCATTGATTCGGAGGTGACCGGAGCATCGGACGGAAAGTTGAATGTAATAGAAGCGAATAACAAAAATAGCAGGCCAATCGCACTGAAACCAAGTGACAGCGGAGGCGGCAATGAATGTGGTCCGTCGAAGGAGCATTTGTTGCCGAAAAAATAGCCAAGTAGTCTGGCAAAAAGGACAAGACCGTAGGAAACGTCTAAATAGTATCCAAATTAGCTGATTGACACTTATGGTCACCCGGAGTGGAATATGTCAACATACAAAATCCCGTGGTAGCTATCGAAACCACTGTGTTAAATCCCGTCACCGTGCCAAAGTAAATCGCGTTCAAGGCTAGCTGCACTAGCACAGTAAGAAAAATGGCGTAAAGCGGTACCTTCTTCCTCGGCTCGACTCGAGAAAACAAGCCCGAAAATGGCAGCCCATGGTCTCGTGCAAAGGCATACACTGATCTTGATCCTTCCGCGACGAGACTGATGGATGCTACCACGACGATAACGGTGATCATACTCGCCAGAATGCAGGCCCCAGCTTTGCTTCGTGTTGAGTCGTAGAAGATCTGAATGACGGGAACCCCGGTGCTTGAGTTGGCTGTTGCTTCGATATCACCCATACAAAAACACAGCGTCAGGAGGAATGCTAGTCCAGTTACAGCCCCCATGATGACCGACAGAATAATGGCCTTTGGCGCATCTCGGCTGGCGTGGGTCATCTCTTCTGTCATATGGCTGGGTGCATCATAGCAGCACATGCCGAAAAAGCTTTGCAGAATCCCAACTATTGTAGCCATCGAAGCGCTAAGGCCGGTCATGTTCCGGAACTCGAGGAATACAAAGTCTGTATCTTGCTTTTGGTGGTTGGTTGCTAAGAGGGTGATGATCACGATGAGGAACGAGGCGATATTCCACACTAAAATGAAGCGCGACAGATGATTTAAAGCGTGCGGTGCGAATACATTGACGGCGAGAGCAAATAGGCCCACGGCCCAGGCAACCAATACGGTATGCCATCTCTCAATAACAAACTCTGGGAAGACAAGGTTGACTTGGCCAAGGATATAATTCGATCCGACGAAATTATTCACAGCGCCCATGGCGAGAAGTCCTAGCCAAAAAATCAGCAGTTTTTCACTAAACATTGACGACTACGAACCGGCCAGCATGAACCATCCAGTGATATATGACAGCTGTCGGGAAATGCGGGGCGGTGCTAGCATAGCCACCCATGAGTATTGGCCTCCAGCCACTGGCCATCGCGAGCACATCTCGGCCATTGCCAGGGCAATAAACATGGTGATTACACAGACTCCAATCCAGCCGAAAATCATGACAGGTGGACCACCTGCCTGGATGCCAATGATGAAGACGCCGCTTAAGGCTGTCCAGCTGTTCGGTATTAGTTATGAATCTTGTGGACGACTCGAGGGATATTCTCACCAGGTTACAATACTGAAACTGAACCCCACCATATCTAACAGACCGAACGACCGCTTGAATTCTTGCTCGTACCCCATATTCCCAAGAGCGACGTCCTCGTCCGTCGAGCCATCGAATACCCCCTTGGTCGCCATGTTGATGAGTAGCTGACCGATGCTTTGGAGGTGCGTATCCGTGGTCAAGGCCGTCGCGAAGCAAGGGATATATACATCGATTTTGCGTGAAAGCTTATCCGAGGATCTGGATCGCGAGAGATAAGACGCCCATTTTCCATCAAAGACACGGAGTCAGATATGATAGGGCACGATAGAGACGTCGAACTTGATTTGACGATCTGACAAGAACTAGGCGAATTTGGGCAAAATACCCGCATGCAGGCCCACAATAGCAATACCAAGATAGGATGAAAATCAGCGATATAGCTCCCCGATAATGTAATCGGCTGACTTGCAAATGAATAAATATCTCCGTACTTCGTATACAAAGTAGGTTTCTTCCCTAACCCCGCTGTACCATATCTTTTGACCCGCAGATATTACGCTGTACCTGACCACGGCTGACAACATACCCGCGTCAGCGAGGATTCCCCAACTACTTCCCTCCAGGGCTGTCCTTCTTCTGTTTAAATTTGCAGTTGCCGCAAGATCTGTCCGTTCTGCCAAGCACTCTTGCCAAGGCGAATACCGTTACCCTTGACCTTTTGAGGTTAAGCCTTTTAGAATAAGGTTGCGTTGAGTGGGGCCCATTAAGTGGGTCAGGACACCCACGATATGTGGTCGTGACCTGACTTGTTGCTTGTCAACTGACATTATATCATTATATTTAGACACTAGATACTTCGAGCTGTTTTTGTTTGACAAAAAATTAAGCCACACGAACAACAAGAAATTATATCATCAACACACGCTAGAAAATTCGACAGGACCACAATCGCAGAGCTTGAATCACCAATCCATTCCACCCAATTCCCACAAAACAGATCCACACTTGTTCAGGGCTTCGATAATTGCTCCCTTCGGAAGAAAAGAAGAAAGCCACCACTTCAATTTCAACGTTAGACAAGGCTCAGAAGATTCTTACAGGGAAACACATACCAGATCGAAAGCTGCAACAAAAGAGCAACCCAAAACCAAGCGTTACCCAGCGCGCCCACACCAGCCGTGATATCTGGGGAGATAGGCCCTGGTCCAATATTGTTTGGTGCGAATGCTCTTGCGCAGATAGTCGCGAGAGAGCCCAGGACCTGTGACACCAGAAGGGTGAAGCAGATGTGCATACGTGTCAGTGTTTGCAGTAGAATCATACCAAACCCGAGACCTTGTAGTGCGTCCAAGACCCCGAGCCAGAGCCAAAGACTCCGGGATATAAGTGCTCCCGAGGTATAACTTCCAGCCCAGGGGAGGTACAGGCCGGACCCAGATGTGCCCCACCAGATTTGGGCCCAACGCGGAGCGCCTAGACCACATGCGAGAACTGGGAGGATCCAACTATGGGACTTGGATAGTCTAGCTAACAGGAAGAGAACTGCGATCCAGACAAAGCCAAAGAATGCAATGCAGAGAAGGAGGATTTGCCATGAGCTGGCGTGCTGGGTAACCCAGAGGACTGTGGTAATCATTAGTACAATCCAAGGCAGACGAAGAGAGAAGAGATAGCAGAAACTATCTGACAGATAAGGACTCACAATTCCAGTTTCGACCATATGGGGCACTCAAGAAGAAGTTTTGGAGAATAACGACCACCCAGTTCCAAAGTACGATCTTGCGCCGGAAGACAGATTTGTAGAATGATGGCACTTTGCCGGGAGCTTGGCGATAATAGTTTGGCAAGCCAAAATAGACGATGAGACCAATTGCCCACAGGAAGATGGTGATTGGTGTACATATTGCTCTAGGAAATGGTTAGCAAGTCCCTAGTCTTTGAGATGAAGATTTCGATGGTATACGCACGTCATCCTCCAGGTGTTGGTGACGCTGCCCTGCACATCCATAATTCCCGCGTTAGTAGCTTTAGTCAAAGTCGAACCCCAGTACCAAAGAGCAATGACATAGGCTTGCTGCGTGCCCTGAATAAGACAAGCACGGAACACCCACTGCTTGACCGGTGCACCGCTCTCATCGCCGAAATTGAGGGCGAAGAAGATAGAACCGCTCGATGATGCAGCAGCATAGATACTACTTCCAACATTTTGAACCCATCCGCGATTGTGTGAGTTGGGCTCGAAGTGTGCCATTCCGATGATCAAGAAGGCCGTTCCGTATAGGAACCATGGCACACTTAGAACAATCACAGATTTGCAGTATCGGAAGAAAAACCACCATAAAATAGAGGTAATGAGGTAAACCGTCGCGATTCCATACAGCTTCGTAGCGGTCTGACCGACCTCACCGGTGAGAAGGGTAATTTGGTAGGAATTGGCTGCAATGATCTGGCCGAGTCCGAGGAAGAGAGAATACACAGGCCATTCTCCGATGCGCATTTGCATCCATTTCCTCAGCCCTGTTGGTGGCACGTAGTCATCGCCAAGAAGGAATTCATCCGGGGGAGCCTCTTTTCTCTCGCGCTCACCACTTTCATGGGATGTCGCATCGTCGTTTGTAACTGACCCCGTTGGGGAGGCCCCTGCTTTGCCCCGATGCACTGAGCCAGCTGGAGATTCTTGATTGAGGCCAAGACGTGCATCGCGAAATTTGTTGAACCATTTCTTTTCGCTTTTCTCGAGGTATTGTTCAATGCAGAATTGGGTATCTGAGTTCGTCCCGTTGAGATCCTCGAGTCTCCTTTCAAACACTCTGTAGTACTCTCCGTTGCTGTCAGTGAAGAATGGGTCAACCTTCTGAAGTTTGAAGTCTTTCTTCTCTCCAACAACCGAATCGACAGATAAGGCCGAGGCATTACTGAGACGGTTACCTGGCTCCGCCCATGGACGAGAAGGAGGAACGAGGGTGTCATCTGTCCCAACAGTACTGGGCGCCGTTGAACTGGAGGGCGTATTACTGCATCGAGCTAACAGGGAGCCTTGACTTGCGCGTTGGGCCGAGAGGGCTTCTTTGGTGAGGGCCACACCAGGCTGGGTAGTTTGTGCACGGCCTGGATCTATCCCTTCGGGTGATATGGAATAATCATCATCACCATAGCAAGTGGCCATCATCTCATCCTCACTGTTTTCTTCAGCCTCTGGATAGGCTCTACCAGCACTGTCATCGCCCTCGATAACACCCCCTTTCCCAAGGTCGGATCGACCACGAGGCTCTATGGTGCCAGATAATGGCCGAACACCATGAGACATCTGGCGACTGAGTCCCGACCTAGGTCTCCCATCAAATCCAGGGCTTGCATCACGACTGTAGATTATAGAACTTCGCTGTAGTGATCCTGTAGTACCTGGCCGACTTGAGGGTTGTAATGGGGGCGTCGATGCGCCCGATTTTGTTGACGCAGCCTGCGGCGTCATCATTCCGTAGATGGCGTTATATGCACCAGCAGCGGTGGACTGGCTCTGAGATTTGGTTCGTTCCTTTTGATGGACTCGAATCGATGTGGACTGTAAGATCTCAAGATCTTCGACCCACTGGGCAACTGGGAATCGTTGCTTGGCAGACCTTGCGCGCATCATTGCCCTCACCTCGGGCTTGGAGTTTAACGCACTGTCGATGGCCAATTTAAACTGTTTTAACAGGTGGGAGGTAGTCGTGGACTCAACCGTATACCACCACCCAGGCATCTGCCCGAGTCCACCTACTCTGGCTCCAATACCAAGTGCACCCTTCCGACCGAATTCGACAGCAACAAGACCAAAGGGCTCATCGCGTGATGGGATAAGTGCAAAATCTGCACCAGAGAAGATAAAGTGTGGTAGGACCGTGAACTGAGGTTTGGAGCACACCCGACCAGGGTAAAGCTTCATCATTCGGTCCAATTTCAACGCCGCGAATTTGCCATATAAATCAATGAGCGGCCCGATGCAGATCAGCTGAACATGTTCTTGACTCTCCAATACACCGGGTAAGACATCGGCGATCAAGTCGATGCCTTTTTGCATCGACCATCTTCCAACAAAGACCAACAAATCAGCGTCAGGTCTTTGCTCTAGACCAGCCCATTCTTGAGCTTGGCGCTTGAGCTCTGCTCTGCGGATCTCGAAGTCATTGTCGATATTAATATCGCTCTCCTTAGGCAAGGCTCTATCCCACTCGCCTGTATCGGAGGGGTCAGGATTCGGTAGGTTTCCAACTTTTCTCAAGCCCCAAAAGATTGGATATCGAGCATATGACCGCTTGCCATACTTCTTCGACACACCAACAGCGCCGAAACCTTGTTGATGAAGACGAAGATAGCTTGCACCGGCATGAAGAAGATTGAAGATCTCGCCGAACTGAACATAGCGTGTTACAACATCCAAATCAAGGTTGAAAACAGAACACACTTCGGTTTTCTCTTTCTGTGTCCGCATCGGCCATAGACCTTGAAATTCGGCGTTGTGAAGGGATAAGCAAATAGGAATAGTCTCGGGTAAAAGATACAACGGAGCCACCGAACCATGATAGTCATTGACGTGATACATATCAATAGGGAACCGCTTCATTGCCTGAGCAATGCATTGATTCCAGGCAGAGTAGTAGATAGCGCTGTCGAGGTCGTCCATACGGGCCGGGTAGGGCTCTGTGATGGATTGCTGGCGGAAAACGGGCGCATCCAACAAAACATATGTGATGTTCCTCAGTTGGTGGTACTGAATCTTGATTTCGTACGAATTCCCCAAGATCATGACAAACATCGAATCGGCTTGTTTATCGATGGGATACTTCACTCCACCGACACATGGAATAACCCAGACAAGGTCCTCGTGTCCGAGCTGTTTTCCCATCAACTGTGCCATGACGCCCAAACCGCCGATTTTTATCTTGATAGCCCAGTCGTCGATCTCATATTCCATGGTTGCAATGAGGACCTTTCGTCGGTGCGTAGTTCGATTGCCAAACGCAGAAGTACTTTGGAGAAAATTTGACTTGCTTGTTAGGCGTCTGAAGGGGTTCCTGGACTGTCCATCTTCCACATGGCCAATCTTGAATTTGTTGACGAAATCCATTGAAATCAGCGTCTTCTTTTCACTCACGCCGACTTGGTTGAATTTGATCCGGTAGAATGTTTTCATGAACATATAAGCGCAGGTTGACGCTGTAATGACAGGAACAATGCAAAGGAGGAAAAAGAGGGCTATTTGAACATATTTGGAGCCTGTAGGAACAAGCTTAAACTGCAAATTCGAGTCATCGAGTTGAATTTTCCAGGCGAGGTGCGGGTTGGGTGGGTGCTGAGTGATGTTTATAGTTGTCACACTGAGGGAAGAGGGCGGTAGACGATCTAGGATCGAGTCTCCATCGGAATCTCCGTAGATGTAGCTTTGGTCTGGTTGATTATCGGGGTTGATACCCCAGACATTCAGCTGACCCTGAGCAGGCCATTCGGCCATAAAGCGAAATTTCCAGATGTTATCGGTATCTTGCCTCACGATGTTATCCAAGCCGGCATCATATCCGTATCTGTTGAAAGGCCCGTTGAAGAAGAAGTGAGGGAACCGACGTCGGATACCAGGACTCCAGTCGGGTCCATCCCCCTCTTGGACGTAGTCACTACTACCTGTGAGGCGACTCCAGTACTCAACCCGAACGTGTTTCCCATCCCATCTCTGCTTCTTCGTCCCAGACCAAGGAAGTTCTTTAATGCTGTGGTTTCCTCCCTCGTATGGGAGCCATTCAGTGAAAGTACTACCCCAATTGGTGGAATACCGATATTTGTCTGCTCCAGCTGCGTGTTGTGAAATGAAAAGAGTACCATCCTTGCTCCCGTGAAGCAAGCTGCTAGAGTAATTTGCTGAGGTAAAGATTATGGGATTATCAGACTGCCCGACTCGGATCAAGAAATGGTCGATGGCGTTGGTTGCCCTTCCATCAGTACTTGTCGCATTGTTCACCGTCAATTTATGCACCCCATTGTAGACTCCGGTCATGGTAGCTCTCCAAGACCAGGTAGATGGGATTTGGCCGGTCCAAGATGTACTCTCCGGCTCAACACTCTCACAACTGACGCTGTCAAGGTCCACAGAAGGCCATTGTCCAGTTTCAGTGGTTGACTCAAGCGATATTGACTCGGTTACCATAGAGCAATTCATCTCTGTGGAGAAGAAGAAGCTGATATCTACCGACTCACTTTCATCTGGGGCGACAGCAGATAGCAGCGGAGCATCGTGGCCAGGGAAGAACTTGGTTATCATGGGACGAGGAGAGACAAATTTCTCCTTGGGGATGTATGCTCTGAATTCGTACGGCTGAAGTGTTATACTGCCAAGACAACCGCTGTACTTATCAGAGCCATTCAAAGCAAGTTTGACCGGACTTTCTTGCAGTGTCAACTCGTCGTGAGGATAGAACAGGTTCTTCACCGTGGTGTTGATGTCGAATGGAGCGATCAATCCCGCAGTTGGATCAGAGCAGTCAAACTCATAGTTCACCGCCCGGTTCTCATTTTGATATACAAACCAGACGGTTTGGTTGCCCATTTCTCCCAGATCCTGCAATTGGTAATATGGACTGCGCAAGACAGACCACATGCCTGTTTCTGTGGGGACCCCGTCAGAGCCCGGCAGATATATGTTGCGTGTTTGGTTTGAGAGTAGCTGAATCCACCATCCGTCATTAAGAGCACCGAAGTCCTGTCGCATCTGATACATGTGTTTGATAATGTTCCGCACAGGGTGAGCTGGATCACGGTGGTCATACGTGACTGTCTCATCGTGACATCCCAAGCGTCCTGACTTGATAGGCCACTGGAAATACTGAGTGGAATTTAACTGGAAACATCCGTGGTTTTTCCAAGCTGTGGCGGGAGACATTGCTTGACGGCCATAGATATAGTTAGCAGCTGAAGCATCTAAAACATAAAATGCTTGTTCCTCGCCCCATAGAAGCATAGGAATGCCAGGCATGTGCAATGTCGTGATGAAAAGACCCAGAAGCTGCCTTTCGATGCCATATTCAACGGTCGGCCATCGGAACACATCTTGATTTGTTGCTCCATACATATGGCGTGGATCAAATTTGCCGGTGTTGGCATTGACCATGTCATTTGTGAGCACCATTTGATACCAGGCCTCGGTCCAATTCACTGGAACGTCGTAGCCAGCGGCCAAGTTGCCATCCATACCCAAGAAACGGGTGAGAGAGCGATAGACGGAGTAATGAAATGCGGCAGCATCGGTGGCTTGCTTGTTTTGGCCACGAATAAAGTAATCTGGATCGGATTCATTGGTCATCATAAACGCCTCCTCCAGTGACTGTGATTGCATATCAGGTTGACGTCCTCGCCCGTGGAAGATAGAGCCAAGAGTGTTGCCACTGGTAATCTCACCGGGAAGGAAGAAATTTTCTTTTCCCACACGGCGAGCACAGTCTCGATACGCCCCAGAGATATCCCCAAGAGCATCGACGGTGGCTTGTGTAGCTTTGTCGTAGCGGAAACCGTCGATGTCGAAAGATGCGATGATCATACACGAATGACGAATTAGTCTCTCTCTGACACTAGGAACCCATTCACGCAGCCGATCTTGCACAGAGGCAAATTTGGCGAGTTCTCGTTGCCAGTCGGGGTAGACACCAAAGGCCTCAATGTCGCCATATTGATCAAAATCACTGTCGTAGCACCCGCGTAGCTCATAATCGACATACTCATCCACGGGGTATCCAGTCTCATTCCAGAAGCGAGGATATCCACATGTCTCATTGTAGGCATTTCCATATCGAAAGTCAACATATTGACGGTCCGATTTCCAGGAAGCCTTGTGCTCTTTGATTGAAAATGGGGTGGTTGTGTTCATGTACCCTTCAAAACCAATGAGGTCACCCATGCTAGTGCTGTTAGATACTTGTGACACGGGAAGAGAAGATGGTTGGACTGGAAGACTTACGTTGAGACAGTATTGTCAAAAATAACATACATGCCGCGGTTGTGAATCTCCGTGATAGCTGCTCTCCATGTTTGAATTGTCCCAAAATGCTGGTCGAGTAGAGTAGTGTCAAGCGCTGAGTAGCCATCGGATCCCCATGGCTGGTTCATTAATACCAAACCTGCAAGATAAAGTCCCTAGAAGTTTAATTGTTCATTAATATCGGGTATGCACTCAAGGTCAATTCATAAAGCTAACCTTGATGCCCATTCCTTGTAAATAGTCCAAAGTGTCCAGCAGGCCAGCCACATCACCTCCATGTCGCATTTGATTTGAATTTATATCATGTTCGAAAAGGGTCCCATTTACATTGTCGTTCGTTGGATCGCCGTTCACAAATCGGTCAAGGAAAAGTGTATATACAGGAAAACGCCAATTTTCTGGAGAAGGAAAATAGGTGTGGTCGGGCCATTCTCCCCAGTAGTCCAAGGGGTTGGTCGCTGTTTGATTCTCGTTGATGTTATAAGCAGCGAGAGTCTCGTCGTAGGGCCAACTGATTCCTGGAGCTGCGAAAAAAGCGAGCACCGGGATTGTATATCTCCAATTCATTGTCGACAAACAATGTAGTAAGCCGCTTCAGAGAAACTTAGGATCGTAGCATGTGTTGAGTATGGCGGATAAGAGCGAGAGAAAGACCGATGATCCTACTGGAGCTTCTGAGAGACAGCTACTACGTTTCACCACTCATGTTAGCAGGTTTGTTAATATCTTCAAAGGGATATGATCAGGAAACTCGTGTACCGGAATGGTACTAATAGCGAATCAGGTCCTCTCATCCAGGTATTCCGAAAAGGAAAGATACTAACAGGGCAGAGATGACCAACAGTTTGCTTTTTCGGAAAGTCGCAGGGGTCGTGAAAGGGTGGTGTAGTGATGACGAGTAAAAGGCCTAGTATCAACGAGGGACTTCAAGCATTTTCCGCCAAGTAGAATATGACCAATAGTCCTTCGATCTATGGGAGCTCTCCTAAGTAGAAAAAGGGGGAATGAAAGGAAATCAAGAGCTGCGGAATGGTTAATAGAAATAAGAGAAACTTGAAAATATTTGAGAGATAGTATAGCACTACCAGCTGTGGTAAGATCACTCGATGTGGTTCAAAGTGAGAATGATACTCCACGGTCTACCTCTTCTAGCAAAGTCTCCTGATGTTCTTTCTAGTTTCTAAGACTCGGCATGAGCTACTTGGACAAGTCTTCTTGGTGCCCGGAATGAACGGTCAATGCCGAAGGCGCAGCTGATAGGAGGCAAAGATATGCAAGTACACAGAGCTCTGTCCACGCGTTGATTGACATCCTAATTACCGCTGTGTGCTATTTACAGAGACCATGGGACTCAGGCGGCGACGATCATGTCTTACGAGGCGTCACCATCGCTCGGGTTTCAAGCAATAACCATATCTCTTTGCATGGGACGGCCGTCGTGGAATGTCCGTGGCTCGACGGGGCTAATTCAGCAATCCATGCATTGCAGGTATCACGACAACTCGGTGAGACTACCTTTAAGGATGGTGTCTAGAGGAGCGGGGAACCCGAGCAGCGCAGAATACCCATCCAATTTTATATTGGTCCAATTGAAACTTCGACGGTAGGCAAACTAGACTAAGTTTCTTGCTGATGTATTCGACTTGAAGTACATACCCGAGGCCTATATCATTGATATTGAACTATCGACGCGGTCTCGAACATCGCTTCCAGGGTCCTGGATGTATGATCGAGGCAACAGTTGCAGCAGAGATGCCGTCTAACGCGCACCAACTCTAAAATGGTGTTTGTTAGAGAGATTACAGGTTAGGTCGGTGGTGAATGTGTACAAACACAAGTTATCTTCATTTCATTTTGAGGTAGCTGTACATTTCCAAAGTTGTTATTCGGCCTGCATAGAGATATGAAGTACATACGTATACAAGACCCAAGCCTCCCTGTACCCTGCAATTTGTACTGATATATATAGACTACTAAATTTTGTTGCTGGCACTATTCTATCCTAGAGAAGCCTGAGTCACTTTAACATTTGTTCAAGTCAGTACCAGTAGATATTGATCGTTGAAGCTCCGGAAACACTGTTTCCTGTGTAGTGAGCCTTCTAAACAAGAAAACATGACTACATATGCTGCATTCACCAAATGTAACCTGACATTCATTGTGGACACCGGAATCACCTGTTGTTCAAGAATGAGGCGGCAGTTAATGAGTTATCATGGCTGCTCCTAGGAGGGTGACAGTCGAAGCAATATGTAGGATTGATGGAGCTATTAAATGTGTGCTCATTATTGATATCTAATGCTCTGCCAATATCTCTTGAGTATTCTGTCAAGCCACCGAGATCTGATAATAGAAGTTGAGAGAATTAAGTCGTTGATTGAAAGATGACATGAGATGATGTATTAAGTACACATAGGGATGTTCCTATGTAATAGAGCTGAAGAGCACAGAGGTAACACCATGTCACTTGTAATCCACAAGGAAAAGGAGCATGGGTTTATGTGTATGACTGACCACATTAACGAATCCTACAGCGAATTATGCTCTGGGGTACAGAATGGAACAATATGGGGAGCGTTTGTTAAATGAAATTATCTGATTTATACTCAATTGAAAAACCCTCTACAAATATAGAGTAGGATGCAATATAGAAATACGCTAACCCATACTAACCAAGACCTAACATGTAATGGCCCTAAAAATTCCAATCGGATACCGAAAGATGTTTCTTCCATCTCTTGGTTTCTTAAGCAATTGATTTTTAAATCATGTTCCAAGCGTATCATTTTGTTTCAGATGCAAGATGGTAGCCTTGAAGAGACTGATATCATGGAGCTGTGAGTTACAATAGTAATTTCCATTATCTTACTAGTTGAGAAAAGGCCATTGCGGGCTAATTGTGCTATGTAGAGATATATAACAGTGAGACTAGTTATTCATTATCTAACTGTTGGTTAGTTATAACGTTGACGTTGCTGGGTTTTGAAAGGCTTCTACTATTCAAATAGAAACCAATCCGTGTTAGCTGGAAATACACACCTTCAACCTTGGAGCTAGTTGAGCAATCATTGTTTGTAATCTCTAATTAGTTGAAAATGACTGAATAATCTAGATTCTACCCCCGGCCCCGCGCTGTCACTCTTTGTGAAACACAGGCAGCCATTGGGATATCACCGGAAGCTGTCGTAGATTGAGGGTATAAACAGCATTGATTAGATGTCTCATCTGGGATTTAGGGATAACCTGGAAGGTTGCATAGATAAACTTGACTATTTCGAGGGAATTCAGATACAATCTAGTATATGTTTCTCATCATTAGAAATAGTAACCTACGTAGATATATATGTACCCAGTGGTTGATCGCCATATTGGTTTATGTCGATCGTGGCTGCGCAAAACAAATGAAACAGACATCTTACTCAATGCAATTACTACTTTTCGGAACTACTGTGTACTGCGTTAGTATGTCCAACCATGTACTGATCAAGTGATTAACTTGGTAGATGCACATTCCCGAGCGCAGCATTTGATATGTACATGTCTCTATATGTATCGACTGTCCAATTCGTTCTAAATGAAGTACTTGTTAATGCCTTTTGTGCGCGTAGTGTCAAACACAACCTAGCACTGGTACCATCTGCCGTGCTGCGTGTCGCTTGCCGCGCAATATCGATTACCATTATTGGCTTACGAAGATACCTCAATCTAGATTATCTATTTCTTCAAGTTGATGTGGAACATTGTCTTGCTCACAGGGGTTCCGGCGTCCGAGTGGAACCAGTCAGTTCAGGGGTGTGTTGGAATACAACATGGGTGAAAGTATTTAGAGAGTCGAAAACACACTTGATTATCAATATGGCCAGATACATAATTAGTAAGATCGAAGATCGGAGAGCTGGCATACACAGCTCCATGTTTCCCGATTGGAGTATCTATCGAAAATCCTATTGCCGGATTGAGCACTGGTCTCACCTGTTTGCTAGGAACCTCCGTGGGCGATTCCAAAAACAAAAGTGAAAGTCAGTTTGCTTGCCCATTATATCACGTTGTTCCAAGATGGGGAAATGGGGAAGCGATTTGGTGGCTGGTCTAAACTATATGGTTGCGTCAAGTATCGAGGACAGGTCAAATGGTCCATATAGGAATGTGCCCGTCTCCTGGTTTGGATATGGGTAATGTTTAAATAATAATATTTTCAGGGCAACTCCAAAATATCCTGGTATCCATCCTGTTGTCTTTGCTCATACATCATGCCTTGATTAGGCGGATTCCACAAGCCGTTATCTATTGGGCACCGTAACGCTCACGGTAATCCTTCAAGCGCTGGATCTCACCGGCACCAATGCTATCACCCAGCTTCTCAATCAAGTCGTGGAGACCAATGACAGACCGGATGGGGATCTTGCCACCAAGATCACGCTGGGCAACGCCAATGGCGCTCTTGGACTCGGTATCGCTGACACGTTCCTCCCGATCCAGCAGGACAACGACACCAGCGACGATACCGCCTTCCTTCTCGATGATACCGACAGCCTCACGGAGTGCAGTACCGGCAGTGATGACATCGTCCACAATGACGACCCGCTTGCCCTTCAGCGGGGCACCGACAATGTTTCCACCCTCGCCGTGTGCCTTGGCCTCCTTGCGGTTGAAGGAATAGCTCACATTGTCCCAGGTAGCCTTGCCGGAGAGAGAATCCCGAACAGCGAGCTCGTTGGTGACAGATGCGCAAATGGGGATACCCTTGTATGCGGGTCCGAAAATAATGTCGAAGTTGGGCTGCGCGGTGCCGTCGGCGTTGGTGGTGACGAAAGGCTCAGCGGAGAGGACACTAGCGTATGCAGCAGAGGAGGCGCGCAGCAAAGGTGCAGTGTGAAGGAGAGAAGAGGTGAAGAAGTAGGGTGATTCACGGCCGGACTTCAAGACATAGGTGCCGAACGAGAGGACATTGTTGTTGATGAGGAGGGGTAGGAGGGTGGACTTGTAGTCCTGATCGGCAGATGGAGGAGGAACGGTCGACATTTTGGAGTTGGAGGGATTGCAGGTAATTCTCTAGGGAATTTAAGCAATTGTTAAAGAGTGTCAAAGAGTCGACGATGTCAAATTCCGAAGCTGAGTCGAGCGGGAAAATTTTGCCGGAACTTTGTTTTCCATGGAGGGGCAGGCGGTATGGCTTCGTATTGCGCCTTATCAGGTCAGAGAAATCGATTTCTCAGTTTAAAAGTACCATTAGTAGTCATTTTCTAATAGGAAAAGAGTTTAAAAAGGGAGAAACACTCGTTATTTCCTATACTTTGTACTTTTCTCACACTTTTCTACCTAAATTCCCCCCTAATTCCCCTTTAAAGAAATACAACACGTGCCTCCGATGGCCGGCCTTCCCCGCCAAATGTTGTCCCCCAAAATGTTCCGCTCACCGGATTCCTCAATTCCTTTCCTTCACTCTCTCCTGGGAGCCTCACAATTCCTTCTTTAACTTTTTTTCATTTCAGTTTTTTTGTGTTTTATTCATTTGTTCCCCTTCATTCCTAGGTTCTGGACATTTAGGTGTCACAGTACACAGGGATTGTGCTCAGGTTCTCAGACAACAGAAGTAGCCTGTCTCATCTACACAGGCGTCCCAGTTCCACAAACAATCTAATTAATTATTGCCGGTCTTCGGTATGTTTGCTCGAGAGCACAAAGATAAACCCCTGATGGAATCGATGGCTCCCTAGGACTATGTGGTATGCTTACAAAGACTAGATTAAGCCGACACAATGCATATCCGAGAGAAGCTTGCCAAAAATGAGGCGGAGGGAAAGACTGGAATTTCCTTCGAGTTCTTCCCTCCCAAAACTGCCCAGGGTGTACAGAATCTTTACGACCGGATGGACCGCATGCATGGGTTGGGTCCTTCATTCATCGACATCACCTGGGGTGCTGGCGGTCGCTTATCGGATCTGACATGCGAGATGGTCAGCGTGGCACAGTCGGTATATGGCTTGGAAACCTGCATGCACTTGACTTGCACAGATATGCCGCTTGAGAAAGTTGACCAAGCGCTCCAAGCTGCCTACAAAGCTGGCTGCACCAACATTTTGGCTCTGCGAGGAGACCCACCGCGAGACAAGGAGACCTGGGAGGCTGCGGAAAATGGATTCTGCTATGCGAAGGATCTGGTGAAATACATCCGGGAGAAATATGGCAACCACTTCGATATTGGTGTGGGCGGCTATCCCGAGGGTGCCGATGACAACAGCGATGTGGATCAATTGATCGACCACTTGAAGGAGAAGGTTGATGCGGGCAGCTCTTTTGTGGTCACTCAGATGTTCTACGACGCGGATAACTTCATCGAATGGGTGAACAAGTGCCGAGCCAAGGGCATCACGGTCCCCATCATCCCTGGTATCATGCCCATTCAGACATACGCTTCTTTCATTCGTCGGTCCAACTGGACCAAGGTTAAAGTGCCTTCCCAGTGGATGGAGACCCTTGAGCCGGTTAAGAACGACGATTCCGCGGTTCGAGAGATCGGCAAAACTCTGATCGCCAATATGTGTAGACAGCTGATCGCAGCTGGTATCAAGCACCTGCATTTGTAAGTTTGCTCTAGCAACCCCCCAATCCTAGTATCCGGACATGTCCTGATAAATTGTCTAGCTATACCATGAACCTGGCTCAGGCGACCCAGTTGGTTCTCAAAGAGCTTGACCTTTCCCCGTCGGACGAGTCGCCAATCCAACGCGCGCTGCCCTGGCGGCCTTCCCTTGGCCTTGGCCGAAGGACAGAGGATGTGCGACCAGTATTCTGGCGCAACCGAAACTCGTCATACGTTGCTCGTACCCAGACATGGGATGAGTACCCTAACGGTCGCTGGACCGATTCTCGTTCACCCGCGTTTGGTGAACTCGACGCTTACGGTGTGGGCCTGAAGGGCACAAACGAGCAGAACATCAAACTTTGGGGCGAGCCGAAGTCTATCAAGGATATCTCGGACATCTTTGTGAACTTCTTGACCGGCAAGCTGGACCGACTGCCGTGGAGTGACTCGCCAATCACAACCGAAGCCCAGGATATCCAGGAGGACCTGCTCAAACTCAACCAGCGTGGATTCTTGACAATCAACTCTCAGCCCGCCGTAAATGGAGTCAAGTCCTCTCATCCTGTGTACGGATGGGGCCCCAAGAACGGTTTCGTCTACCAGAAAGCCTACCTTGAGCTTCTGGTCCCCTCCAACTTGATTGATGAGCTCATCACTCGAATCGAGAAGAACAATGACTTGACTTACCACGCCACCAACAAGAAGGGCGAGCTCAAGACCAACACGCGTGACAGCCCGAACGCCCTCACATGGGGTATCTTCGCTGGACGGGAGATCATCCAGCCGACAATTGTCGAGACAGTCAGTTTCTTGGCCTGGAAGGATGAGGCCTACCTCTTGGGCGAGCACTGGTCCAAGTGTCACGACGCAGCCAGCCCTAGTCGCAAGCTGATTCAGCACGTGATGGATGACTGGTATCTCGTCAACATTGTCGACAACGACTTCCACAGATCTAACGCTGTCTTCGAATTATTCAACGACCTCGAGATCAAAGATCTTAATGTCGAGGTGGCTGGAAAGCCATTGACCAACAGCCACGCCGAACAAAATGGCGTTGCTGCCAACTAAACCAGTTCGTCTCAACTCAGAACTAGTTGCTTATCCATTCACACCCTCGACCCCCTACCTCGGTCGTATGCCATCTTTGCAACCCTCTCATAAAACCAACTCAACATCTTACCTAATTCAACATCACTGATCTCAACGATACCACAGCCCACACAAACAACTACTCCAACACATCTCGGGCTCCCCCTGCAATGTCTTATGGCGTCACGACTGAAGACCTCTCAACGATTTCTTCCTCAGCGTTTTCATTTCAACATAATGTACCGATACCCCGTCTCTTTTAACAATGGCGCTTCGTCGGATTCTCTTTTATTTTCTCGGGTCTATTCTTCTCCAGGCCCGGTGCTTCTCTTCTGGGCTATGTCATATTTTCTGTTTGGTCTAGTAAGATCCAGAATGATTGCCCAGAAGAATGGACGGCTCAAAAAAATGAAAGAAGAACAAAAATTCAACATAATTTTGCCTTTACGGCCTATTCCGCTCTTATTGTCTTCTGTTTTCTCTCTTTTTCCCTTCCAATTCATAGAGCGCTGGCAGTGGCAGTAGCCCAGCCCTGCTTTCCCCCTTTTCCCATGTCCCTTTTCCTTCTACTTTTTTTCTTTTCTTCCGGTTCTTGCTTCTTTCTTGAATGCTGTTCTTGTCTCACACACATCAACCTTTGTCTCGGCTGTGTGGATACCTCCTTCGCATGAACTAAAAAAGGATTGCTCAACGCACATCCGCACATTGAAATGTTTGAGAACAGAATCTTTCATGTCTAAATTCCTTATCTTTTCTCTGCTTTTGCATTGCTTTTGCGAGATTATCCCGGGGCTAGCATATAGGACCATTCAACACCAGGATGTCGGAGTTGGGTCTGTTTTTGTTTTTTTTGTTTTTTTTGACAGCAAGAGAGAAAGAGGGAGGGAGAGGACATCATACACAAGATTGAATTCTGGATTTCGGCGACATGACAAAAGTTGGATGTTATTTTATTTCTCTCTTCAACATGGGAGAGTCGACGCTGGATGAGACACATCTCTGTATGTTCAGGGTCTTCAGCTTTTTGTCTCTCGGTTTCAAGTCAAGAATATCAACATCAATGCAAGTTCTTGTCTACTATTACGTACATTGGTGTACACAAGAATAAATGGTTCCCTTATAGAATATCCAAGTTTGAGACCTATTTAATGATGAGCTAGGAATACAGTCGAAAGACACAAATGGGTAGTTGAGTAGGTAGGATCGCTGGAGACCAGGACAAAGAAGACCCGAAAGCACCAAAAACGACGAACGTCCGCCTTCCAAACTAGAGGCTTCCAGAGAAACAATCTTGTACAAGGATGCAGCCAAATGTCTGGCTAATTTTACATTATCAGGGCACGGCCAACACATTGGAAGACCCACGCAAACGGCCTGGCAAACCATACAACCCAGCTGCTCACAAGAACGATGTAACTAACAGTACGGGTTATCAGCATGGCTGAAAACCCAAGAATCAAGAGATACACAATGGCTTGAAGAAGCTCCACCATGAACCGGCTGACAGCCTGGTCATTACGGGGCTTAGGCCAGGCGCCTGTAGCCTGATAGTGGGATGCCACGGCGTAGATGCAACATGAGACGCGCCAACAGTGACTTGTCATGTTTAGAGTGTTCTTGACCACAAATTTGGCATAAGGACTGTCGGCACCCATTCGGAAAGCTCTATTGACTTGGGTGACGGCAACAACAAGAATATTGAAAAGAAGTGAAAGCGCTAAGGGGCTGAGTCCCTGGCCATCGAAATCATCCTTGTCTCCGGAATGCATGTCACCTAGATCGGTAGAGACGTTTGTGATGTTGGATTGAAGAGACTCCTTCGGACTTGCAACTTGCAGCCCATCGAGCTCGGCGATTTCCAGAACATTACCAGAGGTACGGACACGAGGCAGTGCCTTCATCTGCTCTTCCTTTTTTGGTGAAGTATAGGGCTTCTTGGCTTTGGGTGAAGGAGACTTTTCAGACGCGGCTGGTTTTGTAGACTGGGAGGCTTCATCCAACTTGGGGGTACTATTCAACTTGGGTGGCTTTGCTAGCGCGGAAATCTTTCTTGTTGATGTAGGGGGCCTGTCGGGTTTTGCTGACGAAGGACGTTCCTCTGATATGGTCACTTTTTTCGTTATTGGTTTGCTTGGTACAGGTGGTTCTGGCGGTGGTTGCTTGCTTTCCTCTGGTTTCTTTTCTATCGTCACCATTTTGGGCGACGAGGCAGATTTGTTTGGTGGGGTTTCTTTGGCGGATTGAAATGACCGTTCCGATCGTGATGATTCCGAGTTGTCCCTAGACGGAAGAATTGGTTGAGGACTTGGCGATCGCTTCTGGTTCGCACGCTGGAGTGACCCCGAACCATTCCGCAGAGACTCGGCGCGTGTGCGGAGGGACTCAGTCCTGTTACGCAGCATAGTAGTAATGCTATCTGTAGGTGGCCTGGCCAGCCCCGAAGGGTTTGCCAGCCCGGTGGTACGGATGAAGCCACGGATAGTATTCGTTGTTGCACCTGCTGCTCGTTCTGGAGTGTGATCTCGCACGCGATCTTGGTTTGGACCCTCGTCGTCTTGGTCTTTGAGCGTGGTGGTGATACTGGGGAGTGGCAACGTTTGGGAAGTTGTCAAGGTACGGTCTGTTGGCTGGGGATTCATGTTCGGTGCCCCCGCCCGCAATCCCGATGGTGTGGAAATCATCTGAGCCTTTGCGCGAACGGCTTTGGTAGCTTCGGCGGTCACTGTATGATTTGTGCCACCAGGACGACGCAGCCCTTGCGGCTTTGGCGAAGACGCTTTTTTGTCGGGGGTGGGAATCATAGTGCGTGTGATAGTGGGTGTGATAATGAACACATCGTCGTCCTCCCGGTTTTCTTCCAGACTTCCGGTCCGCTCGGGTGTATTGCTGGTAGGATGGTAATTCTCCTTGCTCGAATCCTGGGACCTCGCCCGTGAAATTGGGGGTGGGTTCGGGGAGCAACTCCGATCCCGGTATATGGTTGACGGCTTCGAGCATCGGGCAGGTCTCGAATTCTGAGAAGTTCGTGGCCGCTCTTCTTGAAGGACTGTGATCTTCTCGACTCTGTGGATGCTTTTCCGGTCTGTCACCTCCTTCACTTCCTTCGACACCCTGTGCCTGTTCTTGGAACCCAGGGCCAATGGGGGTGGATGCAGACTGGCATCGTCTGGGGCTGAGGAAGCGAACCTGAGGATTTCGTCTGGATTCTTCTCCCCGGATATTTCCCTGCACCCTAAAAAAGACCCATCGGCGTTTTGAGGGTGTCGCTTCTCTTTGGGTTTTGTGGGCGATTCCTCCCAAATTGTGCTGATCCGATTATACCCGATTTCATCCGGGCAGTAGTAGTGGCTCGCTACTCGTTGTTGCGATGCAGTCGCAGGTTGGGGCTGCTGGGGCTGGGGCTGTGAATGTTGCTCCGGGTGAGCATTTTGTTGAGGCTGCGGCAATGGGCGATGTTCGTCTTGTGACAAGCTCGGCACTTGCCGCCTCTCGTACGCCCCGTCGTATGTAGTGATCCCTCTTGGGCTCCGGGTTCTTTGTTCGCTAGGATTGAATCTGATCTCGGGCGACACGTTACGACTAGGCACTGTGGCCGGGTCTACCATTTGCCCACCATCCCTGTGTACCCGTTCAATGCTTCTTTGATACTCTGCAATTTGTTGAGCTGTCATTGTTGGCGGATTGGGATCTTTTGCAGTTGGCATATTGACAACGAATCGGTCTTCCCAGTCGGTGATAGAACTGTCCTCAGCAGATACTGGCGAGACGGAAGGATGAGATCGAGGGCTGGAATCAGTGGTCGTGTTTGTCCTCACTGATTTCTGGGGTGTGGTTTCGGTCACATCCATGACGACCCATTGATCATCTTCCTTCCGCCATTTGTTTTGGCTGTCCACAGGAAGGGTGGAGGGGGCATTCTTCCTCGACCTCTGCGCGGGACTGGTGTTGACATTGCTTGGACTCGGGATGCTTGATGGTGCATTATCCGCCCGGTAGCTTGCCTGATCTTGGCTAGTGCTGGCCAAGAGTCTGCTGCGGTGATATGAGATGCGCGAGTTGGGGGATTGGCCATCGTCGCTTCCTTTGCTCTTAGTCCGCCTTGTCAACAACGGCGACTCCTCCAACTTATCCCGTATTTTCCTCCAGTATTGATCGTGGCCTTTCTCCAATGATTTAGACAGGTCACCAAGCCGCCCCGAGGAGTGGCTGGATGGGGTCAATTTAGGAAGCGCAGTGGGACTGCGCGTTTGATTTGTATCATCTTTACGACTTTCAGCGAGACTCCTCGGGACGGGCAGCTTGGTAGCTTTGGGTAGTTGAGAGATATTCCCCGGTGCGCCTCCTGCAATGGCATATTCTGTTGATCTTCCTTCTTGTTGGTATTGGGGTGGAGGAGTTGCCGAGAGCTTTGGTGAGGGCTTGTACTCGGCTCGGTACGCTCGGTAGGGACTTGGGCGTACAGGTCGTGGTGAAAGATTCACAAGGTGTCCATCGGGCAATTCGACATGAGCTTCGTCCATATTGGGCTGAGAGTAACAGCGATTGTGGTCTGGGTTGCCAATGCTATGGGCACAGCGCAGTGAATAGTTGTCCTAGCCCATGCCGTGTAGGAGCGAGGAAAGAGTAGTCTTTTCCTGTGCTGATTTTGCTGAGCAAAGATCTATGTCGGTCGGCGGCTTTCGAAGTAAGGATATGATAGACTCAGAGGAGCGGGGCGATCCAAAAAAGACTGGCTTTGAGAGATCTTCACAGGTGGTCGCCCTCATAACGCGTAAGAATAATGTGCTCTGGTTTGTTGGAATGCTAGGTCGGTAATGAGGAATGCCAACCCCTGGGGTGAATGCTGGTTGAAATGTCCCGCCGCCATTTGGAATGGCAGTTTCCTCCCAGTCCTACATCATAAAAATGAATTGCATCACCTGTGAATGGAAGTTGCGAGGGCTGAATGTTGAAAAGAAAGTGCGATCCAGATATCTAGATGACAGCGTAGACCTAGTGGACTGCTAACTTGAGAACTCCGAGGCAAGCTGACCGCCAATTGAATTGAATACAATGGCCGAGTTAATCAGATCAAAGACCAACATCGAGTGATCAGAAACCAAAGAAATGTCGTGGGCCCTAACTTCGATATGCCGCCCTAGATGAGCAGCTTGCATTCCCCAGCGTGGCGAACGTGGATGAATACCTTGAAACAAAAGTCAAATGCAAAGCTATATCGCGTGTAGCCTCAATTAAGGATAGGATATATGTACGAAGGGCACTGTTATCGCGTCATTACCGCGCGTGCATTGGAGGAAACTGCACATCTGACGCCATTTTGGTTGGCAACTTTTCATGCTGTGGAAATGGAATTTGGTCATTCATTCGTCTTAGAACCGCCCTGTTTCTCGGCGATTGTTGAGGTTATCTGATCTATTGACGGTGGCTGGGCCACCCGGGTTCATTCCTCCCGGTACACTGCTCCTTTTCAGCGGACTTGAGCTCCGCATCAAGGGAGTTGTACCACGCTCCTTGTAAACAAAATCTCCGTTGTTTTGTAAACGGCGATCAAATGAAGTGGTCGCAGACTTCCTCAGTGGAGAGTTTGCATGGCTGTAAACGCCAAGGCTTCCTCCATCACCTGTTGTTGTTGCAGTAGATCGGAACTGTGGCTGCCGCATTGTTGTACGGCTAGTACCTCGGGCCATCGGCGAGGCATCTCGAGACATGCTCGGGGTGTTGGTTGGCGGACCTTGGAATATAGAGGAGATCGGAGTGGATGCAGTTGGCTGGCGGACCGGGGTGAACCCTTCTGGGTCGACGTGCTTAAGGTAATTAGGGTTGGGACTGGTCTTGAAACCACGGTTAATGATGTGGGCCGGGCTGTAAGTCTCAACCCTGTTGCACTCGTCCTCGGTCTTTGGTGGTCCACCATACGGATCGGAGAACTGCGTGCCAACATCTCTCATCAAGGGATGTGTTCGAGGTTGGACATATTTAGTGTCATATTCTTTGAAGACCTCTTGGTGTATAACTTTCTGGTCCTTGGCTTGCTGTGTGTAGGAAGAAGAGATGAAGGACATCTGCACAGACAGAAGGGCCGACAACACGATGGTTGTCACAATCGTCACGCTGGGGCGTGGATCAGAGAGCTGTGTCGGGAGGAACAGCCAGTATACCAAGACGTGCCCTGGGCTGAACAGGCAAAAGAGCCGAAGACAAAGTGCCGAAGGATCCCAAATCGCAAGCTCCCAAACATCGCGCTGTGCATCGGGGTGTGCTCTCGAATGTGCCGATTCTGTAGATAGCGCCTTGGCGATGTATCGCAAGGGAGACGGCATCATAGGGCTGGAATCAACACGTACACGATGTGCTGATGGTGTCGCCGGGTTGTTATCAATAGAGTTTTCAAACAGGCGATAGTGTCTGCTTTTCTGGAACGTGTAGATAGCATTGGCCACAGAGGCAACGGCCATCAAATGGACGATGAAGGAGGCCTGTGTAGAAGAATCACGACCGATTAGCTTTCTATCTATCAATCCCCAGAATATGTAGGCAACAGGAGAGGTATAAAGACGGGGAAAGAGTAACGTACAAGCCACCCACGCAGGGATGTGCCATCGTCGTCGCCGAATACATCGTCAAAAGCTTTGCTACCACCGGACCGGCTGTTTGCTCGCGCAATAAGGAATATCACATTGAGCGCAATACCGATAGGCAAAGCCCAGTTCTTCTCCAGCTGGTCCCAGTCACCAGCTTCAAATTCCTCAGAAAGCCAAAGCAAAAAGTCATATGGATTCAGGCGTGAGAGTATGCGCTCGGAGAGCGGGCGGCGGCGTACAAGTCGAGGCATGATGTTGGAGGATGGGGGTCGCGGTAGACGGAAGCTGGTCCTCAGCAGCTGCGTCCTAATCAAGAAGATAATGCAAGGGCATCAAAGGTGAGGGGCGGTTGAGTCCAAGGTCATTCCACAATTGTTTTGCGGATAATGAAGCTCGGCAGTAAACAAAACTGAGAAATTGCATCAGCTTATGTAATCTACAGCTCCCGGCGATAACCACGGCGATCAACTGACAGCTGGGCCAGATCTGTCATTTACTTGATCCATCTCGAACTGACAGTTCGAGGATTGTGTATCTCGGAAATCTTGACTCGTTCTTTTCTTCTCCCTCATCATGGCGGCATCGGCCGCAACATACAAGGTACTTGACATCGACTCAATGGAATGACCCCTCCGATCGCTAACTCGGTACCCCCAGGAGCGGCAATTCCTTGCTGTCATTGGTGATGAAGAGTAAAGACCCTTCTTCCAATTCGCGCAAGCTTGAAATATTTGTGCCGGGCTAACCTAGCCCAACCTATTATGCAGCTCCGTCACTGGTCTTCTGCTTGCAGGCATCGGGGTACGATACTGTTCACTACCCCATCTACGTCACGGTTCTATAATTTTTAATATTGAAAGCTATTCTAACTTGTTGGCTCCTTCTACAGCATGTTACCGAACCACCAGCCTCGCAGAGAAACTTCCTTGTTGTTGATTCCAAGACCGAGACCTCGGAGATCGAACGGGCCTTCCAGAACTTCACCCAGGAGAGGAAAGACATTGCCGTGCTCTTGATTAACCAACATGTGAGTTTTTATCTCCATATCTTGCACTAAATAGTTGCAGTACTCCCATATCACCACCTACATATCATCTAACGGTTGCGTCAATCTCAGATCGCAGAACGCATCCGCCATATCGTCGACGCATTCGCCGATCCTTTCCCAGCTGTCCTCGAAATCCCCAGCAAAGACCACCCATATGACCCGGAGAAAGACAGTGTTCTCAAGCGTGTCCGCCGCCTGTTTGGAGAGTAGGCTTGCTTTGCATGGATCTTTGTCTTTGTCATTTAGCCGGGAAATGGTGAATTGGTTTCGCCGTTCCGCCTCCAGTGTTTACACAACACCTGCGGTCCCATCATTGATGATCTCGGCGCTTGAGTATAATCAGGAAGAAAACATGGAAATATCAGATAGGGAAGATACCCAACGCAACTGGAACGAGTTCGTATACCCTTTACATATATTCTCTTCGTGGCTACAAGGAATTCATGTAATGTACGTTGCGTGGTTGGTAAAGATGATGTGATTGTATATTGTAGCCACAGCAGATGTAGCCGTCAAGATTACAGTCGCACTCGTTAGGTCTATACAGACGATTGCAAAAAAAAGATAACAGATGCAAAGAGCGTAAAATGATAAAATCCAAATGATATCCGAATGTACTGCAAAGCATTATAGAACTTGAAACAACGGATGCGAATATTGAAGTAGTCATGAAAAGGGCATGGAAAAGAGCATTGCGGATGTTTTGCCCCCGAGGTCAAGCACATAAGCCAATGACCTTAACAGTTGAGCAAATCGCGAGATGCCACCTGATGAGTGGATGCAAAGCAATGTCTAAGATAGACAGAATTAGAAGTGAAACACGATGTCATCCGCCTTGAGGCAAGTGACCTGCTTCTGCTCCTTGTTGTAAACATCGGCAAGAACGGAGTATTTGCCCTTTTAAGAACACATTAGCTGCTTGCTTAGCTTTAAAGGGTTATAAAAACAACGTACCGGTGGGATCTGCTTGGGCAATTCCACCTCCTTTGTCAGGATCATCTCGCCCTTCTCAAGTGGGCACTCCAGGTCCACGTTCTTCAGCTCATCGCATAGGTCGACGGTCTGCTTGATCAAAGTGATGAGACCCCACTTGACTTCCAGGTTCACGGTAGCGCCCTTCTCGATTCTCTCGAGCAGGGTACCTTTGGCAGAGATTGTCAACTTCTGTCCTCTATTACCACCGAGATGTTAGCTAGTGAAAATTACTACATTGAGAGAACACTGTTTGTGGATGACATACGGTTGAGGCGGGTTGGGAGCCAGATCCACCGACTCAATCTCGAGCTTATAATTGTCTGGTTTGGCACAGTACTGCAGTGGGTTTTCACCCTTGACTGGGTACTTCTCATTATCGTTCGTCTTCAGTGAAGCCTGCGTAGGATCGAAGATAGAGAATGCCGCTGCGTTAGCAAGAGGAGCGGTAAGAACCAAGATGCTGGCGGCTGATAAGAACTTCATAGCTGTGATAGTTGTAGTTCAGTCGGGGAAATAGAGGCAGATTGTAGATCGCCCAGGTATGTGCAGTCGAATATCACGAAAAGAGTGGTTTCAGCTCAAACAAGGTGTGGGGTAGGGATTAAGAGACGAAGGCAGAAAGAAGTTGGGGGTGAGGAGAAAGAGATGTCACTTGATGACGCCTCCACACGTGATCCCAGGGGCAGATCTATACCATTTCTGTCGCCCCATGGTTCTACGCCTCGTGTACCTGCAGGCTGTGGCTGAGCAAGAAAGAATCCCTGCTATTGTGAGAAATAGTTTCTTTAATTCGAGCTTCTAGGTCCATATTGTTCTACTGAGAACGTCCATCCCATGCTACAACAGGTGGGGAGTTGACCTGACCCACTATACTCCAGTTCCTTATCAGTGATCGGCATCCGACCTCGGATGTCAAGGATTATTTTTTATCAATCATCTCATTTCTACGGAGTAAAGAGACATCGATTGCAAGTTTCAAGAAGCTGTCCTAGTTAGTCGTTGAACTTCACGTATCCCTCGAACATTCCAATTCCACATAACACAGCGATGGATTGACAATGACGTGAAGATGTAGATTATGAACCGGTATATTTTGCCCAGAAGTGGTAATATATATCTGAGGTGATTAGGTCGGAGACGAACTCTGATAGCTATACGTCTGCGTACTATGGCCAATCACCTCAACTTCTTTCAAGGAGCAAAAGTGATCAACTGACCTAACCCTTGTTTTCTGTCATCTATGATTAATCTAAAGGATAGGAATGACGTATGCCAGAAATATTTGCTCCACAAAATCTCTGATATTAGAACTATGGAATCAAAGTAAATAGTATATGACACAAGGCATATAAGAAGTAAGTAATTATAGGGGATTGCGTTCTTTAGCGGCCTGGGGCCAGTATCAGGCACGCAGCCCTAATCAGAGCTCCGCAAAACCCATAAAGCCCATACATAGCCCAGCCCAACCCAACTCGCAAATAGGCTAGCTGATGGGCTTTGGGCCCTACCTTCGAGCCCACCGGTGGGCAATGGGCCTAAGTAGAAGCCTACTGCGGGTTAATGGGCCCCCAAATGGGCCCTAAACAGTATAGATATACCGAGAATTCAGAAGTTAACCCCTTGTAGGGTTTTTGAAATTACCGTATTAAAACATTAATATTAACCTTTTTCGTGGTATCTCGACCTCTACCCGTCGGATTTTGTTTAAAATTGAAACATATATTTATATATAGGTTGGGCTTTGGGCCCGGGGTTCGGGCACATTTATGGGCTTTGCGGAGCGCTAGCCCTAATTGATCCTGGGCTGCCAATGGCACAAGAAGTAGTCACTTCTCTACTTCTTGAACTTCAACTACCCCCGTGGGGTAGTGGTGTGGTTCGCGTTTAGGATGTCAAACCTGAATATTCAGATGTTTCTTTAATACTTTAATACACGAGGTCCCCGTCAATCCCAAGCTCGGGCCCATATTTTTGCTGTGTCAACCTGGTACTGGATGGCAAAGCTTGGAATGACATCTACGAGGAACTAGGCGACACAGAGGCTCGAATCACGGCACAGGAGGTTACTGGATTGGCTCCTGTTTCGCTTGACGCTAATACAATAACAAAAATAGAACATCGAAAAATCCACATCAGAACAACGCTCTACGCTTCCTATTCTACCACGGTCCGTGAATAAACCCACAGCTAAACAGCCAGATGATTTCCCAACGTGAGGACGAGTTGCTAAGTTCGGTATTGACGGTGCATGTCACTCTGTTCCTCCAGGGCTTGGGGTTGTATTGCCCACTTATATAAGGCTCGTGGGCATTACCCATCCGCCCATCTATGGGAAATATCGCAGTTTATTTCAGTGAGCTTTAAATACAGGGGTCTGTCTTATTTGCGTATTTTTGGCTGAGGAGTTAGAGACCAATCTTGTGTACGCAGTATGTGTATTTATTTCTCTCTGGGGCTTGAGTCTGACAATGATATGATAATTTAGAATTCCCTCGGTAGTGATAGACTTATAATACTTATAAAGGTTTAATATTAATTAATAATAGATATTATAAAGAAGAAGGAATCCATGTAATTTTATAGTGCAAACCGGCCTGAAACTATAACTACCATGGCGGTGATACATGTAGCACCTACTTTAGCCTGCTCAGATTAAAACTTGAGATGGAATCATAATTATTGTCAATACTATTAGGAAAGTCAAACGACTGTTTAATTTCCCGTTGGGTATGTCACTAAATCATCTCGATATCGCCATCACCGTGCACTTCAACTTCGGGGGTGCCAGCTGCTCTCGGCATTTGAACTACTTCCCCTCTAGCGGATTCAACGAGCAACGCGGAGATTAGAACAGAATGGGTTCCGCATTTTGAATAGCTAGACTTTTAAAACTCTATATCAATCCGTGCACTCAATAGCATCCAGGCACAGATTCAAATCACGATAACTCGTTTAACTTCGTTCAACAAGTTGTTTCGATGCGCTGCGGTACGTTAGAGCAGGGCTTTCATTCTGCTTCGGATGTGTCAATAGCACCCAAATGGCCCGATCCATAAACAGGGGTCAACTATGTGAAATCAATAAGAAGTTTGTTGATAGCTGCATAAAATGAGGCTTCATCTTTTTGTGTTACTCTTAAATTGTTGAGACTAATTGTTCTCTAAGCACTACCGATCTGCAAGTAGGGCAGTTACGGCGGTCTCTAGGGCTCAAAGGGCCAACGACCCGACAAGCGGTAATTTTGGATAGCAGAATAGAATTCAGACCCACAATTACCAACACAGACATGATTTAACGGTCAAAAAGCTCGGCGAAGGAGAATGAGAAGAAGGCTGCCAACGATTCCTAGTTGGTAATACCAGAGAGGATGAGATCTCAATGCAGCGGGGATCTTTGATAAGTCTTGATCTCCTTTTGGAGAAGAATAAGAAAAACAAAAGGTACATATCTGATGCCTCAGCGGGATTTTGCATATTATGTTATATTGATTCCAAAAGCAATTTTATACTAAACTTCCAGAGCGGATACAGACTAGCGAATTTGTTTTAAGGTACTCATGCTGTAAAGCAAGCTTAGCATTAAGGTACTCGACTAGGTACTAGGGAAGGTTTGAAACCTATATCGCCGTACTGTTCAAATAGAGTTCTCAATAATTGCGTGGCGTCATAATGAGGCGTACGTTGAGCTGGCCGTGGGTTTCCGTTAAAGACGACTCGCCATTTCGCCTATTTTTTAGAATCTTACAGATTATTTACGCTTGTCGGCGAGAATTCAAGGCTCTTGAAAATTTCTAATTCGAACCGTCGGACGTCCTTGCGCTGCCATGGCCTGTTGTGATTGTACGCATACCCTTTCCAGCTCTGAAAAGAGCGACGAGCTATCGGACCCCAAGATGCTATCTTTACCGGGGGACAAAACACCAGAAGAGGCTCGTCTAGAGCGAGAAGGATGTATCAGGAATCTCCAAGTGTTTCGATACAATCTCTACCAAAAAGAGTCAAAGGTCGATGATTGTGACGCCTTTGCCGACCTACTCTACTACGAAGAGGAGCTGCGAAGGAATTGTCAAGCGGAGATTAGTTTACGACACGAAGTGAAGAATGGTCCGAGTTTCTGGGGTACTGGCTCTCCAAGCTTTGAGGACGAGATGAGCACACTCTACCAAGACAATTGGATGCAGACACGAGCCTGGTGGTATGCCCGTGGTTGGATAATTGGTAATTCCGGGCCCTTGCAACGGGCATTTGAGTTATGGAGATCCAATTCTTTGTGGTATATGCATCCAATTCTTGTTGAGGACTGCAAGTCTAGAGGCGGGTGTTGTGGTCGTGATTGTGGATGTTGTCTTGATGCTCAACGTGCAAACAGTTCAGCCGGGGCGCTTGGTGTGGGACACTGCACTCTAGAATGCGGATGTTGTATAAGATCGCGTGGCTTTGAACTGAGTGAGGAAAGGGAAAAATACCTTGTTGATCGCTTCTCATTTGATAATCGGCTGGATACTATGGATCATCAGGTCGATCCTTATCAGCACCGAATTTGTCTTGTCTCTATTTGGGGGTTGAGTGTGGATGATAGCTAGGTCATCCAGAATGAGATTCAATTTCAAAATGTTGCTGCTATGGGACTTCCAAATAAGGGAAGTGAAATTTGAAAGAAAATAAAAACGAACAATACAAAAAAAGAAGTACTACCCTACGACTGCTATGGTTTGCCCTCGTTTCATGTACATTAACTATAGGGTCAAATGAAAATTACTAGCACTACTGAGCCAGTTGCCGCTGGCGCTGTAGATCTTAGTATAGCCTAGGGTTCCACCGCCAACAAAACCGAGGCTAATCAAGCCGACATCCCTCGAGCATTCATGATCCCATGCTCTTTGTGTCTTGATAATTTCGCTTTGTCTTCTTCTTCACTACCATCTATTCACTACCTACTACAAATTTTCATCCATCTCCGAGCCCCGGAGTCTACCTCCTCCCTCCATCAGATCTACCCCGAGTTCAGAGATACTGGCTACCAATTTACGGGAAGAAAATGGCCCCAGGTTGACAGCAAAGTTGCAACGTCAAAATTAATTAATAATTATAAATAAATAGAAATGTACAGGTTCACTTCCGATGCTTGAATGAAAACAAGAAAAACAGATAATAAGATATACATCAATATATAGACAAAACTTAGGGTAGGGGTTGAGGTCCAGTTTTTGAAAAAAGAAAAAAAAGCAAGAGAGGAAAGGAGAGCCCTCTAGCCCGGTGAAGCTCCTAAAGTTGATATTAATCATGTCAGCAGTGTTCGAGAATCATTCCGAGATCATCAAGAAGGCATAAAAAGCGGCGAAACTGAAAGATTCTCTGCCTCAGCAGTACAAAGGATGGGAATATAAGAATCTCGAGGCAAATATCTACTCTTCTCGAAGATTTCAATGAAATAGTCTACGGGATGTCTACGATTATGACTTACAACTAGGTCTGGGCGGCGAGAGCGGCGGCAGCGGCGGCAGCGGCCGCCCTAGCCCTGGCCCTGGCCTTGCCCCGGGTATTGCTAGCTGGGCCAGAAACCACAGCGGGGTTGGCGAGAGGGCGACGGCCACGGCCACGGCCACGGGGACGGTCACGGGCACCAGGAGGGCGAGCAGGCTCAGCATCCTGAAGTTCAATCCCGGCCTCAGAATCAGCGGCGCTATAGTGTGAGTCAGCATATACTGTAACCCAAGCATGGAGCAACACATGAGGCTTTGTAATGACATAATGTATAAATTGTATTGTATATATAGTAGTCTAGAAGTCTAGTTTATCATACCGTTGTTGGCGATACTGCCAGAGATTAATCTGGCCATGCGACAGCCGCCAGACCAAAGAGAAGACGAGGACGACAGCGAGGAGAGCAATGGTATGGACCCAACCCCACCGCTCGACCAGACGCTCAACGGTGGTGGGCCAGTTGGCAGGCGGGGGCGGGGGCTCATCCTCGGTGTGGGGGTCGGCGTTCGCGGGGGGCTTATGCATCATATTAGCTACATCCAAACAGCAATGGATCTGGATTTTCTCAAGTAACATTACCGGCATCTTGGAATAGAAAAGAAGAGAGCACGGCGAATTGTCTGAGCGATGATGCCGAAGTGTCGTCAAACATGACGCCCGAAGTTCGACTTGTTCCCTATTACTACTACAATAGGCAGGTACGAATAATAGCTCCTACCTTACCTCCACGGGTGCATTATAAAAATTAAAGGCTCAGATCTTGGCTTTACCACTCTCAATCTCTGCCCAACTTTTCTCTTCCAACTTCTGATACTTTGTGCCGTCCAACCAGTACAGAATGTCACCACCACCGTCCTGGCGAGGATTCCAACCCTTCTTCGCTAAATCCCCTTTAGCCTGCTTGAAAGTGACACCTGTGGCAACCCTGTAGATTTATTAGCGGTGCAGGCAAATTATCGCAATTAAGGGAATTCGTACTTCTCGGTGAGTCGGACCAATCGAGGCAGAGCATATGAAGGAACACCCTTCTTCTTGAGCTCCTTGTACAAGGTTGAGATCAATTCTGCCTCGGCTGCTGGTGATTCCAGCGTGATACCAGCGGCTCCAGCTTGACCATCATATCTAGTAGAGACCATCAGCAATGCGATCTGACCAAACAAAAAAGAACAAGACGGCATCAATACATACCCGTCCAGCTTCACACCATATACCACAGCATCATGCACGCCCTCAATCCGACAAATATGGTCCCGAATCTCTCCCGCACTAACGTTCTCACCCTTCCAGCGGAAAGTGTCACCAACCCGATCTTGGAATTTCACCCACCCAGATTCATCTTGAACAACAAGATCACCAGTCCGCTGGAATAAATCCCCCGTCTGGAACACATCATGTATAAGCTTCTCTTCCGTCGCACCCTTATTACCAAGATACTCAATCAGCGTCCCACGGTCCCGGACACGGCCAATTGCCTCACCCTCCTGTCCAAGCGCAGCCATCACGCAGAACCCAGTAACGGGATCCCGGTATGGCATCTCGGTATCGGTATCATACTTGACTATGAAAGTATCATCTTCCAAGAACCGACGTATAGGCCCAGAAAACCCGACCTTACCAACACCCCAAGCTCCAACACCGTGGTTATCGAATTTGGCAATTCCCTCGGTTGAGCGGTAGAACTCGCGGATCTCAGGGACATTGAAGCGCTTACGGAACTTCTCCCAGATCTCCCCACGTAGTCCGTTCCCGCTTGCCACGATGCACTTGTGGTCTTGGTCATAGGGCGATGGCGGCGTCGCGAGAAGGTACCGGCATAACTCGCCGATGTACAGAATGCGTGTTGCGCCTGAGTCGTGTACCTCCTTCCAGAAACGTGAGGCAGAGAATTTCCGTCCTAGACATAATGTGCCTCCGTTTCCGATGGCGGTGCATAGACCGATGAAGAAGGCCGTGCCGTGGAAGAGGGGGAGGGGCGAGTATACACGGAATGGGTGGTATTTTGAGGGGTTATTGGCGTCTGATGAGAGTGGGGTGGAGGTTATCAGGGTGAGCATGTTGCGGATCGCGCAGGCCTTGGGCTTTCCAGTTGTTCCTGATGTGTAAATCAGGATACAGAGGTCTTTTGGGTTTCTCTTGGCTGCTGCAAGTCCTGATGGGGAGAATTGCTGCAGAGTTTCCGATGTGATGAGCTCGGTTGCTCCTGTTTCGGCACCTTGGAATGAGTCAATGTGGAGTGTGAGGTGTGGCAGGTCAGTGCAGACATGTTGAGACAGATCTGCGCTTGAAATGATTAATTTGGAACCGGAGACGTTGAGGCAATGGATGAAGGTATCGTCTGTCACTAGTATCAGTGTTTTATTCTCCGATATTGGAATTGGACGATTAACAAACCTCGTAGGTTGGTATTTATCATTGCTGCCACAGCACCCAATTTTGACAAAGCATACACAGTCACGACCATCTCCGGTGAGTTGGTGGTAAAGACACCCACTGTATCACCGGGGCTGATATCACGACTCTTCAAAAGAGCAGCCATTCTGTCGGCCACTGCAGACAGGCGCATTAGCAATCAGATGCAATTTTGTCTCCCAAAGAAGGGGCAATACTCACAGTCTTTCAATTGGCTGTATGACCATGTCTTCTGCTCAAACCAGAGCGCATCGGTGGCACCTCGTCCTCCAACATCCACCGCCCGCTCGAGTATCTTGTAGATGGTTGTTGAGCCATCGAGCTGAGCAATGCGCTCGTTTAACCGCTTTACAGCAGCCTTATCGCTATATATTGTTCGCAGATCAGTGGCAATGGCAAGCTTCGCATTCAAATAAGCACCGGCAGCCACCGTTAAGGCGGATGCCATGGCCACAGCAGGGGCGTTGAGTTCAGAGAACACGTCCATGGCAGCAGAGAAGGCTGATTTCTTTCCAGTCAAGTGCTTCTTGTCAATTCAACTGCAAGAATGAATTCAATGTCTTGGCAAACTAAGTGATTATTCTGCAACGAAGAGAGTCTCATATATTCTAGTAGAAATTCCGAAGCTTTCAAAAACTGACATGGAGACAGATATAAAGATCCCCAGGCCTCGGAGCTCTGATGACGGAAGCTAGCCAGACTCGATCTGCCGTTCTTAACAAACGCAATCCAACGGCCCTTTACTCCGTACATTAGCCATAATCCGCAGTGGGGTCAACGGGAAATCCCCCATGTTCCTCTCCCCGTTGGCTGAGGTTTCCCCGGTTTTGGGGGTCAACTGTTATTCCAGGGCCTCGGACTTGGTCTTGCGAGATGAGGCAATATCAATGTGTTTAAGACAAGATATCTGAGTATTCTTGTATTCCCAACTTCTCCATGCCTTTCCTCAATAATATTTACTCCAGGATCAAGCCTGCCAATGTACATGTGGGGCCGTGAGACGTCTCTGATACCATCAATACCATAAATACACCAATCACAGTCTGTTATTACCAGCCGAGGAATACCAAATAAGGGTATCATACACGGTGTGACCGCCGAAAGCCCGGCACTTCCAGTCGGCTCAAATTGTCGCAGACAGAACGACCAAAGAGTTCTACTCGGCTCGGCGTGGAGTAGTTTGGAGAAGCCGCGGTTCTTTTTAACACATCTGAAAGAGATTCAGATATTAAACAGACGGCTTTCGTTTTGTTTTGAGCTTATGAATAATCCTTCTCAATCCCCTACAATGTCTTCACCACAACAACGTCTAAGCTCCGTCGCCAACCAGCTGGCAGCTCCTGGCTCCGCCCGCCAAAAGGTTCTGGCCAAGAATCCAGATGACATTGTATGTTGAGAATTAAAGCTCTTGGGTCTTAATTACAGTGGTTAACCAATTGGCAGGTTATCACTTACTTAGCCCGCACGCCGCTCACCAAGGCGCGTAAGGGTGGACTGAAGGATACCAGCGTGGATGACCTCCTCGTCTCACTCCTCACGGTACTTTTTACATCCATAGTCAGGAAAATGATCGCAGTAATTAATTCATCAAACAGACCGTCCGCGAGAAGTCCAACCTAGACCCCAACCTTGTTGAAGATGTCTGCGTCGGCAACGTGCTCTGCCCTGGCTCTGCATACGTCGCCCGCTCCGCCGTGCTGGCAGCAGGCTACCCCGTAACAGCAGCAGCCTCCGTCGCCAACCGATTCTGCTCCTCCGGTCTCCTGGCCATTCAAAACATCGCCAATCAAATCATTGCCGGATCCATCGATGTCGGCATAGCCGTTGGAGCCGAGAGCATGAGCAAGAACGCCGACGGCGGCGCCCCCGAAATGTCCGAGCGCATCACCAAGCACCCGATCGCATCTCAAAATTCTCAACCCATGGGCCAAACTTCAGAGAATGTAGCTAACCAATTCAACATCACGCGCGAGCAACACGACCGGTTCGCTGCCAACAGTTTCCAGAAGGCCGAGCGCGCGCAGAAGGCCGGCTGGCTCGAGGACGAGATTGTCCCCGTCAAGACTCAAATTAAGGACCCCAAGACTGGCGAGGTTAAGGATATTGTTGTTGACCGTGATGACGGTATCCGCTATGGTACTACTCCCGAGTCCCTCGGCAAGGTCCGCGCTGCCTTCCCCCAGTGGGCCCCTAGTGCTACCACCGGCGGTAATGCCAGTCAGATTACTGATGGTGCTGCGGCGCTGGTTCTCATGAAGCGCTCCCGCGCCCAGGAGCTCGGTCAGTCCATTGTTGCCAAGTTCTGTGGTGCTACTGTTTCTGGTCTTGAGCCTAGAATCATGGGTATTGGACCATCTCTTGCCATCCCTAAGATCCTGAACAAGTTCAACTTGAGCAAGGATGATATTGATATTTTTGAGATTAATGAGGCATTTTCCTCAATGGTAAGTCTACCAATTTTGTGACTATGTATGTACTTTGCAAGACTAACATACGTCATTACAGGGTGTTTACTGTGTCAACAAGCTGGGCTTGGATGAATCCAAGGTGAACCCGCGTGGTGGTGCTATGTAAGTGATCTTTGACTGAATTTGATTGATACAATGCTGATGTTTCAAAGTGCTTTTGGTCACCCTCTCGGCGCCACTGGTGCACGCCAGGCCGTCACTGCTCTGTCTGAGCTGCGTCGACAGGATAAGCGAATCGCCGTGACTTCGATGTGTGTGGGCACTGTAAGTTACTTCCAATCATGACTTCAAACCTTGAGATATACTAATTGCTTCGAATAGGGCATGGGTATGGCCGGTATCTTCGTTTCTGAGCATTAAGCATACAGCCGTTTGTTACTGTGTTAATATTGTATATATTTTTCTGTGGCAGTGAATCTGAATACGACGCTGTGGTTTCAATTTTTTAGAGTATGTCGGTCCGATGATGATCTAATTGCCCAAAATTGTAGCTCAAACGTGTCAGGTGTGAGAATAATACTTTTGCGAAATGTGCTTGTTTTCCTCTTTTTAATCTTCCCCTCCCCCCACGCGTCCTCTTCCACCTCAAGCTCTACCATCCACATAGACAAGGACTCCCAATCCCAGAACGCTATCAGCTATCCTAATCCTACTCGTGGGCTACATCATACATCATCATCTCCGCCCCCTGTACCAAAACAAGCCGATCATTTATCCTTAGGCGTCGCATATGAAATCGCCCTTCATCTACAGACGTGCTTATCGGTAAATCTCAATCCACAACACAGCTATAGCGCAGGCTATGTTGTAAGACGGCTTGCTTTTCTCCACACAGCCTGCAAGCTCAGTTGCATGAGGCGAACGCTGAAAGATGAAATCCCCTGTCTTGACCCCAACCCTTCCGAACGAAAGATGGAAACCCTCCTATCACCTAATACTTTTTGTTTCCCCACGGCGGAACAACCAATGGAATGGTTTCCTGTATGTACATTGAAGGTTATATACACAAGCTGGCTGCTTCTCACTAACACAATCAGTCGTAATGGACATTCAACCCGTCATCATCGAGGAAAGAGTCGCGATAATGCCAATCTATCATTCCTCAACCGGGCCTAGGTCAACATACCCAGCAGCTAGCCGAAACCCACGAGGAAACCGGTACACAACAAAAGGAGAAACTCGCCTTGTATCGGGAAGGGTCAACCACCTCAGTGGCTCAACGATCTAATCCACATCCAAGCAATCAGATATCTGCTTCGCAGACTGCAAATTTGGAATTCCCCCGCATACATGCGGAAACTACCAGATATGCTGATCATGAGCCACGGTGGAGTGAAATCTTGGTCAGGGTGGTAAAGGTCGACTGGGTCGAGGATCACAACTTTAATAAAATGATATTGCTCTTCACCAGAGAAAGAAGTGTCGCAAGGCTCTCGGTAGGTTTATCATTTGATACCTACACTTCAAGAATCTAATAGAATATAGGACAAGTTGCCCGCTATATGAAAGACCTCAAACACAATTCCTCTCTATTCGAGTAGACGCAGTTTGGTTCTACCAATGGCGTGTAAATCCAACTACTTGCCTCGTGCAGATTGGGAGAACATACACCAGCTGCTAGCCAGGTTACAAGAATACAACATTCGCGTGGAGGCAAAGAAGATATCCATCGGCTTCCCAGCTATTCCCCTGATAGAAGAACGCAAATTTCCGCGGTATGGCCACGCGAGATGACAAACCGAAGGCAGTCCTTAGCTTGGTCCCATACCCCCTAAAAGACTTTGAAACATAAGATAGCCCCTTAATAGATTAGATAATTGGATATTCTATCAACAACTCAAGAATTTATGTATGATTTCTCTTTGTATTGAATACAATTGACTATATTTGGCATTTCCACGTGGGATATAATGGGATATAATAAGCCTCAGGCTTTCTTCACAAAGACAAGCTTCCTAGCCAACCAGCAACCAATCGTAAACCCTTGGATTACATCATGCTCATCCCGAGAAAAGACAATGGTCCAGTCTCCCGGAGCTGGTGCATCCAAACCACGTGGACAAGTCAAAACCCAGACGTCATCTCCCAGATATTTCATGGCGGTTGCATTTCCTTGACCCAGATATCCATCAAACGCACCGTATAGCATGCCATCCTCGCCAATGCAATGGAAGGTAGATTCAATCTCAGCGCAGTGGTAGACACCCTGGAATGAATTATCTTTGAAAATTGATTCTTTCGGGACAATACGCCGAGCACTGAGTATCCGGTTATCTCCAATGCGATGAATACTCAAGGAATCTCCATCAATCGTCGCGACCGCCATACCAGACTTCCCATGATTTGGTGTGCTAAGCTTGATAGTATCGGCGGAGCCGTCATAGGTAATGGCCACCTCTCCATCCCGTGCGCCCTTGGTAATGACAATCGACAGCTGAGTATCCTGATCAAGAAACGCGCCAACCCATTCCGCGGCAGCTTGAACAGGCTCTGTCACAGGCTTGGGTAGCTCCAAGAGGTCTCGGAAGATATCGATGTTGGGGCCGGATGCGTCAGCGTCACTGTTAAACAGAACGACGACGGACAACCGCTCGCGTGGTGCGTGTCGCCGATGCAGTCGATACCCTCGCAACGCTCCACCATGTCCGATCGTGTTCACACCTTCAATGTCAGTGTGACCAAGCCCATAACGGTACTTTGCAGGAGTACCGTCTTTGAACTTCGGAGCAACAATAGCGGTATGGTACCAGCTTTGCGGATCAGCGTAACAGCGATCGAGATATTTCTCGTACGCGATCATATCAGTAAGCGAAGCGACTAATCCAGCATCGCCAGACCATTCCATTTTGTTAACAGCCGCTGTGAAACCAAGCTGCTCGGTGCCCTCATACCCAACACACGGCGGTGGGTGGTGCGCGGTGTTAGGACAAAGGAATGCCGTGCTCATACCAGCCGGTCGGAGTATCCTCTCTTCGAGCAATTTGCCAAGAGACTCCCCAGTAGCTCGCTCAATCACTCGCGCAAGTACGTGGAAGTTGACATTGCAGTAGGAATATTCCGTTCCCGGCTGGAAGTGGAATGACTTGGTCCGGGCAAGCACCGGCCCGCAGTCTCTGGCTATCAGGAACTCGTCGTCGGGTTTGGATCCCCACAGTGTAGTCATAGCCCAGTAGTCACGCATACCGGATTGCATGTCGCATAGCCGATCAAGTGTCAGTTCACCGTTGCGAGTGAGTTCCGGGCTTAGCATTTCCATGAGATGATCTGATAGCTGTTTCCGGACATCGCCCTTTTCGGCTAATGTTGGGGTTGGGTTGCGCTCCAGGTCGATCAATAGTGCACACACAAACTGTTTAGTAATTGAACAGATGGGTAGTTGCGTTTGGGATGTCATGGGGATTCGTTGGTCTAGGTCGGCGAATCCCCAGACGCGTTGGCCGATGATCTCGCCATCTTGGACGACGGCGATGGCACCTCCTGGGCCTCGATAACGAAGGGCAGCTTTGTTCAAGATTTCTTGAACCTTTTCCTTTGCGATTGTCATACTTTCAGATTAACGTAGAGAAAAGAAACCTTTTGGGACAACATTTCGATGTTCCGTGGACAATTACCCCACCTCCAGTTGGTTATCGTAGATAGCTGACATATTACTAAATATAGCATAGTAAAGATTACACAGAGCCTATTTGGATATTATTGAAAGTGTTAATAAGCTATAAATTGGTGTTGGACTCCCATTCACTTTATTGAATGCGAGACACCTCGGGAGTCCCTGGTTATACATAGAAAAGTCGCTTGCACAAAGTATGCTTTTTGTACCGCCTTCAAACACATCTAATAAGACATTTGAACAGATCAGCTAAAAAGACATCACAAGGCCGGCCGACTATTCTTGTAAGCTATAGATTGGTGTTGGACTCCCATTCACTTACTTAATGCGAGACACCTCGGGAGTGATAGTAAGGGGAAAGCCTAAAGGGCTAGTGTTGGGTAAACACGGACATTGAGGCCCCTTTATTCAAAAATATAATCCATCCATTTCAGAAGATGATACGAAGTACGGAGTAAATGAAACCCATATCCTAGAGAGAGACGAACCAGAGAACATGAAAATCGAACGCGTCCACTTGGAATGATCATGGCCATTTTTCAATCTTGAGCATCACCATTGGCACTAGTTCCTACAATATATGTACTATGTACAAAATGGATCCTTCACCCGTGGACAACGCCTCCAAATCATGTAATTTTGCGAAAATAATCGAAAAAAAAATAATAATAAATATTTACTACAAACTTTATTCCTACTAATTAGTAGCCCTCCACCATTGTTATATATTAAAATACGGAGTACTCCGTACTACCATTGCACTCAAGCTTCGACGAGATCGACAAGGCCAAGATTGCCGGGTAAAACATTAAGCTACGCCGACCTCAAAAAGTATGTGTGAACTACCAAACTCGTTTGTTCATCTTAAGACCTGCTATGATCAGTCAATGTCGACTTGGCCAAGGATAGTCCGGACTACGATATATTTCGATCACTGTGATTGGATGAAATTAGAATATACAAAAAGAGTAAGGAGTCATCTGCATGTGCTTGAATGATATTCCGTAATGAGGCCGGGATGGGATACAGAAAAGAACCGAATATTAAAAGCCATTGTTTGACATCTAGACTCGACAAAGGCGCGGAGTACAACATACACAGCAGACTACGACATCACGATGCCCCCTAACGGCCGATCATCAATCCATTAAGGGCTGAGCTTAAAAGGGGTTGGTTAATAATAGACATGTGTACAGGGGAGATTAGTAAACCCCTGATGGAACCCTGGAAATGAGCCCAATCATGCGATGACACCAAATCTCCACCAGGGTGTCTGACATATTCCTCTGGGCATCCCCACGGAGTACTCCAATGTGTCGGCGACCCACTATATTGTACACATACCAAATGCAACAAATGAAATGGTGCGAATTTTGTTCAGGTTAAAAATGTGAATGGTCGGGGAAACGCTTCGCTTCCAAAGCCGGATGGAAGTATCCGGGGAGATCGGGCAAAATCATCGAACGCAGCCTCGGGCTCTATGGATTCACCAGGACCCACTTCTCATGCATATTTTTGGAATAAATCAACTTTCGGCTCAGCCAATCGGAGGGTTTAAATCAGGGTTAAAGTGGACAGGCAAACGTGTTCCGACCCACCGAATCCACAGAACTACACGGTGGCGGAATCTAGACTGAATTTTCATGTCTAGAGCCCAACCTTGCGTTTGTTCTTTAGAGGACTTTAGAGGGTTACTTCTCTTCCGTTTGCATTTTCTACTTCCACTTCTTCTTTCACTTTTATTCTCATCTTTTCTTTTCACAATTTCCCTGGCTACACTCTTTTATTCCAGGTCTTTTTCAACTTATTCTATCAACACTCGTTAAAACACTTTCACAATGCGTTCCGCTCAATTCCTTGCCCTCGCGATGGCCGTCGCTACCTCCGAGGCCGTCTCTCAGGGTTTCAACTACGGTGCTCTCAAGGTTGACGGCACCGTCAAGACCCAATCCGACTTCGAGACCGAGTTCGCAACTGCTAAGAACCTCGTTGGAACCGACAATGCCTTCACCAGCGCCCGTCTGTACACCATGATCCAGGGTGGCACAACCAACGGCCCCATTGAGGCCATCCCCGCCGCTATCAAGGAGAAGACCACTCTTCTCCTTGGTCTTTGGGCTTCCGGTGGTGACATGGCCAACGAGATTGCCGCCCTCACAACCGCCATCTCCACCTACGGCAGTGCCTTCACAGACCTTGTCGTCGGTATCTCCGTCGGCAGTGAGGATCTTTACCGTAACTCCGTCACCGGTGTTCAGTCCAACGCCGGTGTCGGTGTCAATCCCGCCGACCTTGTCGACTACATCACCCAGGTCCGCTCCGCCATCTCCGGTACCTCCCTGAGCGGTGCCTCCATCGGCCACGTCGACACCTGGAACTCGTGGACCAACGGCTCCAACTCCGCCGTCGTCGAGGCCGTCGACTGGCTCGGTTTCGATGGATACCCCTACTACGAGAACACCGACCCTAACTCCATCGATGACGCCAAGGCCCTCTTCAACAAGGGCGTTGAGAAGACTAAGGCTATCGCCGGCGGTAAGGAGGTCTGGATCACCGAGACTGGTTGGCCCACTACCGGCGCCACCGAGAACCTCGCTGTCGCCAACGTCGCCAACGCCAAGCAGTACTGGGATGAGGTCGCCTGCCCTCTCTTGGGTGTCACCAACACCTGGTGGTACATTCTCGAGGATGCTGGCACTACCTCCCCCAGCTTCGGTGTCACTGGTTCCTCCACTGACACTACTCCTCTGTACGACCTGAGCTGCAAGGCCTCCACATCTTCCAGCTCTGCTATCGCTTCTGGTACCTCGACCGCCAGCCTCGGCGAGAAGTCCGGTGTCATCTCCGGCTCTTCTGCCTCCGCTACTGGCTCCGCCTCCTCCGGCTCTGGTGCCTCTGGTTCCGGCTCTAGCTCTGGCTCTGGCTCTGGTTCCTCCGGCTCTGGCTCCAGCTCCGGCTCTGGTGTCTCCGGCTCCGGCTCTGGATCCTCCCCCGTCGGTGCTTACTCCGCATACGTGACCCCCGGTGTCCGCCCCTCCACCAAGCCCAAGTCCAAGAGCGCCTCTGTCTCCGCCTCTGCTTCCGGATTCGCCTCTAGCACTGCTTCTGGTTCATCCGCTACCGCCACTGGTAGCAGCAACGGCTCTGGATCCTCCACCTCTGGTTCCGGCTCCGGCTCCAGCTCCGGCTCTTCTTCCTCTGACTCTGCCTCCACCTCCTCCAGCGTCCCCTCCAGCTCTGCTACCCGTGTCGCCGGCTCTGCTGCCGGTGCCCTCATTGCTGCTCTCGCTCTTGCTTTCACTTTCTAAGCATGTCATTTTCCCTGGGCGATTTGGAGTGATTGGTTGGATGATACTCACTCATTAGTCTATCGTTTTGATGGCCGGTGATCGGCTGTTTTTATGTAATATTTTTACTCACTTTTGTTTACTACTTTTACCACTGTTAAAATTATAAAATTACACTTATATAAGTCATTACATGGTTTCCTCGTACGTTTTTCAAAAGTAACAATTTGAGACTTTTTTGCACCATCGTTAAGTCTGAGTACTCCGTACATAGTCTTTGTATTGCAATTATTCGCTTCGACGTGCCCATTATTTGTGTGTTTCTCTCGACAACCCCCTTTGCTTCACTCCCGAGATCCACCACCCAGAGTGATAAGAATGCACCTAAACTATTGTCACGCCGAGCGAGAAAAGGAAGAAGTTTTTATATCTGAGTACGAATCATTTGCTCTTTGTGGGAACAAAGAGTGGAAGCTACTACAGGTTTCTACCCTTCCATGCTTTTGTTTGTTCTCGCCACCTGCAAGCAAGTTCAATTAGCAAGCCTCCCATCCATCCTGATCCCAAAAGCAACAAATGCAGCTTACGGAGAGCGGCCGGCCATCTATTTATATGAGATTTGTCAAATTCAGTGCCATTCGTTAGTCTCACGCACATCTCGGCTAATATTAGTAATGGCGTCCACTCGCTGTTTCTCAATTACCAAATATATCGGAGTCTTTGGGATTGATCAAAAAGGCCGGTCTTGATTTGATACTCTACCTCCTGCCTACCTATATAGGGAAATTTCTCAGAATTGACTTTCAGCAAGCCCTTTTGCCTCGTTCATTTGATTTCCATTGAGCCGTGTCTTTAAACTAATACTTGACTACGCAAGGAATATTGTATACTGCTAGACAAACATAGGTAAAGACCAATGTAACAAGCAAATTAAGTAAAGCACACTAGTCCTACTATTTCCAATTATGTACAGTCAGTGGAGATCGGGGTTGGGTGATTCCCGATAACTCCTTTCCAATTTGAGATATGAAGGGGCAAGAGTCATCAGTAATTGACTTAACAAGTCAATACAAGTTTAACGTAATGTATTTATACATGAAAGTAGGGAAAGAAAATCCTTGGTTGCATTGAGCTAGCTAGCTAGGAGAGAGAGGAAGATCAAACACCTGCTGGGGAGCAAGGTCACATTAGATTATCTAGGTAGATTTTCCCTCCAATTTCAAAAGAGAACGTGCAGCATCAACAACAGTATCCTCAAGTGCATGGTACTTGATACCCAGGATCTTCTGTGACTTGGAAGTGTCAACGGTATACACAGTCGACGGGACAACTCCAGTGCCCGGTTTTCCAACAGGCACGCGGTCTCTGATCTCAGGGATCTTCTCCCGCAAAGCGTCAACAAACTGCTGATAGGTAAAGTTACCAGTGCAAATGAAGAAGCGTTCGCCGCCGGCCTCAGGAACCTCAAAGGCACGAAGGTGGGCCTTTGAAACGTCACGAACATCCACGAAGGACCAGAACATATTTTGCGGGACATCATCCGAAGATTTGCTTCGAGGTGAAATCAGGCGGAGAATATCAGAAGAGGAGGTATTCAGCTTGGTCAAGCTGGCAGTGGCATTGATATTAGGGCCATACACCATAGGAGGCATGATTGTTGCAAGGTCGAAATTGGGCTTGTTGGTCTTGACGAAATCCCAGGCAGCACGTTCAGCCAAAGCCTTTGCAGTAGAGTATCCCAGACCACCCGGAGCACCCTTAGCGGCGGCGACTTCATACGGTGTCATATTCCAATCAGCTTCAGAGTAAACATGGCCGGGCCATGTGCCCTTGCTATAGTCCATCATGGCAGCGATAGAAGAAGTGATGACAACGCGTTTGACTTCGGGGGCATGCTTGAGCACGGAGTTGAGGACGTTGGTGGTTCCGTCAATGGCTTGACGGAGCAGATCGCGCTCATTATCCTCGATATTGAATATTTGGAATGGCGTCGCGGTATGAATCACACCATGAACACCTTTAACTGCCTCATCGAATGCTCCGGGCTTGCCCATATCTTCCACGATTGCGAAGCTCAATTGAGATGCAAATTGAGAGAAGCTTTGGCGCACCAGCTCAGCCGTGGCGGATGAGCGGACGGTTCCGCGAACTTGATAGCCCGCACGAAGAAAGTCCTCCACGATATGAGTGGCAATGAAGCCAGAGGCACCAGTGATCAGGATAACTTGGTCTTGTTTTTGCGACATTTTGAGAGAGGCTTGTATACGAAAGCAGCTTATGCGGTTGTAATTGAAAGATCAGTAGAATTGTTTATTTAGGTAGGCTGGTGGGATGTTCCTCCTTAAATATACAAGCGTCTACGATTTGCCATTCGAAGGTTACTATGTAGTTTAAAGCCGATAGTCAGCGTGTGGCGATTCTGCTTTAACCCCGGACTTTATTCCCGTGCAATATTCTCAACCTTAAACGGAATTAACACAGGGCCTGCGTCCAAGCTCATGTAAATTTTAGTTATCCCCTAAAATCCGTTTTATGCATGTTCATTATCTTCACAAGATTTCATCGTGGGACAAATTGGCAGATTCCCGGAACACCGTGCAATGACGTCATGGGCATTGACAGATTTCAACCTTAAAAATTAAACCCAACTCAATCGATCTTAACGCCGGCTGTCAGCATTATCTTAATGAGCTTCTTAATGGCCCGGGCCTATGTGAGGCGAGGGATTTCGAGGGCTGTTCGTCGGCACTTCCACAGCCACGGCCGAAACCCTTCTAGTTTCGGCCGATAATCAAACCCCAAAGCCCTCGGATGCCCAACGGAATTCCTCGGATGCCTTACTTCACTCTACAGTTGCGCATCGTACCAATCGCCACGTTGTTCTCATTTATCTCTCATGTGAACAGTGGATGAAAATTCAGAAGTATTCTCCCTTCAAGCAGGCAATTCAAAAGTCATTTTTATACCGTTTTTATGTAAATATTTATATTATAGTTATAACATAACTATACCCTCTTATCCGTACACGAGAATATCACCTTCTGAGGTTATCCATAAGATTAATTCTAAGGGTTAGACATTTACGCTGGTGTTAAGAAGTAGTATATATTAACCCTAAACTCAGACAATAGGGCAACTTCAATAGAAATAGGAAAGTGCCTAAGAGCACCATGAGGAAGGTGCGACTGAATAGAGGTAAATAACCCATTTTTATCAAGTTCGTTTACTCCTCTTCTTAATCTGTCTAAGTCATATTACCATTGCCATGGATTCCGGCTAGTAAAGCCTCAGTCAAGATAACTGCTGCTCCTAACAAACGGAGCAGACAAAAAGTTATATCCGCGCTATAAGCGGCACAGGTCGACCAGCACCAATTATCAAAACAGAACCTACCATGGCTAACATTCTCAAAAAGATACTATGATGTCGCTGCCTCCTCCTCCTCCTCCTCCTCCTCATCCCCTATCTTGACGACCGCCTAAATGAGGTGAAGTTGATAGAAGATTTGGAGATCGACCACGTAACTCACGTTCTAAAGAATACAGAGAAGCGACCAAATTAGAAACTTAGCAACCGCATCCGATTGTTATTGAATGCGATTAAATCAAACAGAACTACCTCATTGTGTTCAACTACGTTGGACACGAGAAGATCATCGGTGGCGAACTGAATTTTATTCTCCAAGCTGAGGCCGACCATCTCTCATCTTAGAAAGGATGGGGGGGGGGCAAGTCCTCAGTTTCCAGCAAGCATGGCTTTCTACCCGAAGACGGCCGTTGCGGACGGGAAGTTGTTGAGATGGAGATGGTTGTCTTGTTTGCCATGCTTCATCCAGCAGCTACATAAATAGCTCTCTATATGTTTGTAGAGAAATTAATCCCTTCTTCTCTCCTCTTTGCTTCCTAGTAGCTGGATTAGAAGTCTCAGTGTGAGACTTTCAATTTGACCTTGCGTCCAAAGACGGACCAAGCGTGAATAAGGACGGAGCAAGGTCAATTCTTCTGGGGGTTAAATTATGGCGTCGGAAGATTTTGTTCGAGTATGTTGGCACTGTGTTTAAATATCGCCAATGGTAGGTGCTCAGGTGGTTTAATTTATTCTTGTATGGTAAATTATTGCCCGTATTTGGCATTTATTCTAGAGAGAAGCACAAGCACGAACAGCTAGACAATTTCGCAACATATATATCACAAGTCAACCAACTGGATCTACTAGTTTCTCAAGGCCCTAATTGAGATTGCCTTACTTACTATTTGGATGTTATAGCGCAGCGGTGTGGTGTCAGAGGATACATGTATTAGGTCCTTAGATATATGTATGCATCAATTGATGTAAATCATGGTATTTATCTTCTACAGTATTCGAAATTGATGCTCTTGCCTAGGAGTATAGTATTCTGACATGTGCCATATTGTAAAGCTTTGGGTCTTCTCCAGTGCAGAAGACATCCTCAGTGCTAGTAGAAATATCTAAGGAGGTCTAAATCCTCTGATATTCTAGATAGTCTATGTACCTGAAAGTATATTTAGGGCTGCTCGTAACTATGATACATGACAGAACTTTGCATTGTCGCAGTGCACGCTATTATAGTGCCTGTCAATTCCTTATCATCTCTTTGCGCTAGTAGTATCAGAATACTCAGGATTGCTCGATTGAAAGTACAGCAAGTGACTTGGCATAGATATTTGTCGAGTCATGATGGGAAAGTTCAGCTTGGAGGCATCCAGGCATCCAAAGGAGTCGTGCTTTTCTATCTCAATTCACGCCCTATGCTCTTGTCACATTTCCAGACGAGAAAGAGCACATCCCCTTATTTCCTTCGTTCGCTGGACTGGCTTCCTTCATCCATCTCCTTTATCCATTCCTAATATTTCGCCTATCAAACTTTTTGCTTTCCCCACATGGATTAAGTGCCTACAAATATCAACCTTTGCTAAAGCTCGGATATATATGGCAGCTATAGATGTGGGTACGCCTTTCCAATGACCGATGACGCTCCCGTCATCCTGCTGAGGGCTGCTGGGGTGCCCGGTGATGTAAAAGCTAATCTGCTAAGCAAGGATCGGCAGCTTTCATGCGAAGCCCACTTAGTCAAGAATGACCTCTGTTCTGGCTAACCCCACCATTCTTTCACTGTAGGTATTGTGTCCTTCCCGATCAACAGGAGCTAACGATGAAGTTTGAAGAATGGGGAGGTTTCAAAACATTGTGGTACCGATACAATAGGCGGGTGGAAACCCCCCAGAAATGCTGTGTCTTCTCGAGCATTTTTCCAAATGATCCCTGTGCAAACAGTGCGAGTTTCTCGCTAGATCTAGATCAGAAATGAAGTGGAGTTTTAAGTGGGTGCAGTAAATACTGAACTTCTTGTTGGACTCGACTCCGGCTCACTTCGTGGTGTTTTGCTTTCTATGGTAGGAATTAGAAGAATGAAAGCAATCAACCAACAAGCGGGGACAAATTTGGGAGACAACGATTTGATCATTGAAGAGGATGAAAAAAGAAAAACGGGTAGGCGGCGAACGCTGACTTCATTAAGAAGTCCCAAAAAAAACTGCGACGGCAGCATGATTTATTTTTGTTTGTCCCGTCACTCATGCCATTAGGCCATCTAACCCGAGGGTCACCTCTGTTGTACTCTTGCGCATATTATATCCTTCTACGGTATTGGTTACCTAGGTAGTTAATGATGTTATGTAATCCCTTAGGAGTACCTACCTAACTACCTAGGTAGGTAAGTAGCGCGGCGCTTACAACATAGGCTCGCAGGTGATGTTCTCTAACACAATGCTTGTTCGCCAGCATCTCCAAAACACATCCCTGCTAGTTTCAATCTGCTTTGATCTTCGGCAAACAATGTCTGATACAACGATTGATTAATTAATTGGCTATTCTCGCAACCAGCTAGATGCAAAGTGATCAATATCTATTTCTCACTACAGTTCGTAATCGTATTGTGTCGAGCCCTAATATTAGCCTGAGACATTAGGTGTCTATTCTCAAACGCCACCAACCTGGGAAAACCACACCAAATTCGGAAGCTGAGAACTCGGACGATGTGATAGGACGAGATAAAGCAGTCAAGCACTGACTAGACCCGACTCGATATAGTTCATTCTGATTAAATCCAGTTTATCTAGATCGGCACTTTCATTGCAATGCAACTGGTTCCTCTTAATCTGAGGGTTTAACACGCGGGCTAGACCTGCTGCTCATTTAACTCGTCCTATTCCGGCGCTTTATTTTTTTCTCCTCCATTTTCTAGTCCCTCCATATTTTCTCTTCGTCAATCATGGACCAGGATCAGCACAAAGACGATGTCCTCTCCACTGTGGAGGAGGATGGTCTTCCCCCAAACAAGATTGACCAACCCATTGCACCAGATCAATTCGACGAGAGATACCGCACCACCCGGATGGAAATTTGGGCCTATTATGCGTGCGTGGATCGTTGAATTGACCCTGTGCGGAAACTAAATACCACGACTACAGCTATTACATTGGAAATAATGGCTTGTCTTTGTTCAGTGGGTCTATCCGCGTTCTCCAGCAGGATCTGCATTCGCAAGTGGAAGCAGAAGCTGACCCCGTTCTAGACTTCGCGCCAACTGCTTTTCAAAACTTGCTCGCCCAAGCAGCCCCCGAAGATGGACTACTCGACTTCATAGGCAGACCTCGCACGGCCAATAGCATCGTGCTCCTCTCAAATGGAATATCCTTCGCGATCCAAGTCGTTGTATTCCTGGTAATCGGCAGTTTCGCCGATTTTGGCTACTGGCGACCCAACATCTTGATCGGCTTGTCGATTATTGCCTATGCCATCGGCTTTGGCTGGTTAGGCGTCCATACCGCAGACAAATGGCATGTCGCGGTTGGTCTGTATATGGTTGGTTTAATCGCCTATCAGACCACGCTCACTTTCTGGACCGCTGCGTTCCCGGGGTTGGCGCGTAATTCCCTCGAATTGAAGGGAAAGGCCGACGAATATGTCGCGGGGATTATTACTCGTGATGAATATGACTATGCGGACACCATGATGCGCAGCAAACTTGCCAATGTTGCTTTCTATGTTCAGTCTGTCGCGGAGATCTTTATTCTGGCGATTATCGTGGGAATCATGTTCGGGTTGCATGTCAATGATAGCGAGAGCAATAACAACTGGGGGCTGAGTGTGCTGATCGCATTCGTTTCTGGTGTGTGGTTGCTTGTCTCGATTCCGTGGTTTGTTCTTGAGAAACGCCGTCCGG